GAAATGCTACACTCCTTTTTCCTGGGTGACTGGTTAATAAGGGAGGGACAGTGGGAGGTAACTAGGTGGATCTGTCATTGCCTCACCACACCAGTTACACTAGGAGTTGATCCATTCGACCTGCTGCCAACAGCAAGTAATTATCAAAAGGCTTCAGCAAGCCGAGGAGACTATATGTCTGGCCCCAGGCTGGGCTCGGGGCGTAGAACAACTCCCAAAACCCTCTCCCGGTATGCTCCAGGTACGGAGCACCATCAAAGTCACAGGATATTCAAAAGGCACTAAACATCACTATGGATGGCAATACGAGAACAAGAAGCACATAAGGCAAGTAATATGAAAGGTATCAGATTCACCAAGGATTCAGTTGAGGACAAATGATCACAAGGGGACAGTCGGGAAGCAAGACACACCCACTTCTTGAAAGTCAGAACATTCAACAAGGATATGCACGACCATAAGTGGGACAATGCAATTCGGACAATATGAAGCAGGGCGGTGCTCCATTAAGTGTCCGTGAGTTAAACACGTATGACTAATACTTAACCTTGCCAGAGCCATAACTGTGGTAGGAGGAAGGCCATGGGGACAGGCTAATCTTAAGAGCACGCAGTTTGTTACCAGTAACAGAAAACCAACGACACTGCCAACAGGAATGGATCAAAATGAATGACTGGATAGAAATCGGAATAAGGAGCACCTTTTTGGGAAATAGGACAAGTACGAATAGCCTCCTTAGCAGCAGTGTCTGCATGCTCGTTTAAAGAAACACCAATATGGATGGGAACTCAGCCAGCATACCTCAACCTGCTTAGATCTTCTAGATTAGAAACAGCGAGTATTGGATTTCTACTGCCACAGAACTTACAGTATAGGCTTAAATGACACCAAAGCCATGAGAGCACTAGGAGTGTCAACCACTATGATAAAGGAGCGCTGATGACGGAAAAGCAGTCAACGAGGGGCATACAGTTCAGCCATGAAGATGCTAGCCTCCGGAGGTAGACGGCACATTCACACAACTGCATGTAACCACCGTGAGAACTGGCACCTCAGGCCCTTTCTGCTATATGGTGTCCTTGCAGACTGTGTTGTTCTTCCTCCCAGCTAACACCTCACACATTGCTGGTATCTGGAGGGTCTAAACTTAAAGCAGCACTTAACATGAATATCATTGCACACTGTCTCTGCTACACTTAAGTTGGTTGTTACTGGGTTAATGCACTGCCCAGATTTGCCGCCACCAAATTCACCAACAAAAAATGCAGACTTAATACTTCAGTACTCACTGCACAGTCCTTCACTGGCTAAGAATGTCACTGATCGTTCACTTCACTGCATTGTTTTTACCTTCTGACCTCTCCTCCAGTTGGAACTGTCCTCATTGTCAGAGATTATAGCAGTACTAGGCTATGGAGTAGTTCTACAAAACTTTCTGCACTGAATGATCCTGCACAGCTACATTCGGCATTCAAACACAATTCCCAGACCATCAGCCGATGTTAAGCTACAACACGACTTCTGTTATTCTTTACTAATCAACATAATACACTATCTAAGAGTTTGCTACGTTTGTCCTTGCATTTTTCCAGAGATCTTTGGCTCTCTATGGAGGCTTTATTTGGTGCACGTCTGCAAATTTCTGCAAAAATTCAGGAGCGAATTGTAGCACGTCCTGCTGCACTGACAGATGGTGAAACAAATAGACATTCCATACTAACGAGACGTCTCACTGCCTTCCTCGGAAGTCATGTGACATTGAGTCACCCTGTTGATTGGCCCTTGCTTTTGAACTTGCCACCAATCATATCTTTCTCTCACATCCGGGATTCCTGGTATCCTCACCCTGGCTACTCTGGCATGGGAAACTCTGCTCAAGTGATGGTGTCATGACTGCCATAATGGGAGAAATGGTAGATAGGCTTCCCCCCTCATGAATTCCTTACAACTGATATTTCTTTTAAGCCGTGCAACTTGCACAGTTCTTATATGAACTGAAATGATCCCTAGGCCTTCTAGTGCATACATGGGTTGGGAAAATGATCCCTAGACCTTCAAGTGCATACATGGGTTGGGAAAATGATCCCTAGACCTTCAAGTGCATACATGGGTTGGGAAAATGATCCCTAGACCTTCAAGTGCGTACATGGGTTGGGAAAATGATCCCTAGACCTTCAAGTGCGTACATGGGTTGGGAAAATGATCCCTAGACCTTCAAGTGCGTACATGGGTTGGGAAAATGATCCCTAGACCTTCAAGTGCGTACATGGGTTGGGAAAATGATCCCTAGACCTTCAAGTGCGTACATGGGTTGGGAAAATGATCCCTAGACCTTCAAGTGCATACATTGGTTGGGAAAATGATCCCTAGACCTTCAAGTGCATACATGGGTTGGGAAAATGATCCCTAGACCTTCAAGTGCATACATGGGTTGGGAAAATGATCCCTAGACCTTCAAGTGCATACATGGGTTGGGAAAATGATCCCTAGACCTTCAAGTGCATACATGGGTTGGGAAAATGATCCCTAGACCTTCAAGTGCATACATGGGTTGGGAAAATGATCCCTAGACCTTCAAGTGCATACATGGGTTGGGAAAATGATCCCTAGACCTTCAAGTGCATACATGGGTTGGGAAAATGATCCCTAGACCTTCAAGTGCGTACATGGGTTGGGAAAATGATCCCTAGACCTTCTAGTGCGTACATGGGTTGGGAAAATGATCCCTAGACCTTCAAGTGCATACATGGGTTGGGAAAATGATCCCTAGACCTTCAAGTGCATACATGGGTTGGGAAAATGATCCCTAGACCTTCAAGTGCATACATGGGTTGGGAAAATGATCCCTAGGTCTTCACGTGCGTACATGGGTTGGAAAAATGATCCCTAGACCTTCAAGTGCATACATGGGTTGGAAAAATGATCCCTAGGCCTTCAAGTGCATACATGGGTTGGGAAAATGATCCCTAGACCTTCAAGTGCATACATGGGTTGGGAAAATGATCCCTAGACCTCCAAGTGCGTACATGGGTTGGGAAAATGATCCCTAGACCTTCAAGTGCATACATGGGTTGGAAAAATGATCCCTAGGCCTTCAAGTGCATACATGGGTTGGGAAAATGATCCCTAGACCTTCAAGTGCGTACATGGGTTGGGAAAATGATCCCTAGACCTCCAAGTGCGTACATGGGTTGGGAAAATGACTCTTGAAGCTTGAAAGGCACGAAGGAGATGGAGATCGTAACAAGAATAAAAGCATTTATTTATAGATTTATAAATATTAAAATCTTCTTAATACAAGAACTTAGTTTGGCAAGATAGTTACATAAAATTTACAAAATAAAAATATATAGTTAAATGTTAGTCAATGTGTTACAAAGGCAGTCATGGGAGATATGTAAGTAAAAGACCTTAATATTATTGGTACAACACAATATCTGATAGAATTTTGAGGATGTTGAGTAATATAAAAAACGATAGCAAATTTATGGATTTTAAAAACCTAATGTATCATTGATTGGCTATACTGTATATCCAAATAAGAGCAATTAAACCAATACAATCGTTCCAGGTTCCCAGTTGACACTTCGTATTTAATGCTGGTGATGGCACGTATAAAAATCATTGAATACAGTACATGATTTATTACACTGAGCCTCAAACCCGACAGACAGATACATCGATGAGCAAACAGCGGCACCGTCAAGAGATTCATTAACATAATGTATCAAACTGACCCAGTGGTCGACGTCCTTGGTTTACAACCGAGGGATCTGGATTCAATCGCACAGCAGAGCAGAAATGGTTGGGCACATTTCCTTTCACCTGATACACCTGTTTACCCCAGAGTTAGTAACTGTTGTGAGGTTCCATCCAAGGGAAGGTCAATAGTGGGCCTAGAGGAGATCAAGGTAAGCCTAATTACAGGCTTCTTGACCCTGACCCCAGAAATTAATAATATGATTGAAATTTAGTGATAATATGATTGATTTAGTAAATTTAGTAATAATATGATTGAAAGTGAACAAAGTTGGTCTAATGAACTGAAATATCCAGTGCAATAACTATAAAACAACTGCTACATTATCAAAAATATTAATCATTTTCCCTGCATAAAATCCTTATTTCTAGGCCAATTTATTTGAGGCATGATAAAATATCGGCCAAAATGCAGTACAGCAGTTTCATTTATTTCTGTTTACAAAATAATGCTCTACCAGGTTATAAAATGCAAATAAAATATTTTTAAACTCTGGTCAGGACAATATTCTTACATGCATTGACAGACAGACTCAACTTGTGCAGAAAAAGTGAGCGTTTGACCAATGGTAAACCGACTCCATGAGTGGTATCTTATAAGTCTCAGTTGTATAAAATTCCTCGTTTGATTTTTTTAAGGAAATAATGAGGTGATAGATGTATGATAATTGTGGTACATGAGCCGGCAGGGGAACCTGGAGCCAAGATTATAGCCCTTGGAGGAGACACACACAATGGATCTTGTGGCACAGACGTCTATGTAACCGACTCACCACTGAATATCCCAGATTAGATCCCTGGCAGCAGATTCACGAAGCAGTTATGGAAGTACTTACGAATTTGTACATTTTTTCTCAATCTTTGGCGGCTTTGTTTACAGTTATTAAACAGTAAATGAACTCCAAAGCCCCAGAAGGCTGTTTATAACAATAACAACAGTTGATTGCCAAGTTTTCATGCTTGTAAACTGTTTAATAAATGTAACCAAAGCCATCAAAGATTGAGGAAAGATGTATACGTTCGTAAATACATGCGTAACAGCTTCGTGAATCTGGCTGGTAAACACGGTTGGATATGTCTCCTTTCACCTGATGCCTTTATGCATGTAGCAGTAAATCGGCAACTAGCAGTTAGCAACCGTTGCTCGATGCGTCCCGATGAAAGTCCCCGACTATGGGGAACTTGTGCGAGATCATTTACAAATTTCCAGACAAATCAGTTATGTAAATAAATCAACTTAAGATCTGCAATAATATTTTAATTTAATAAAAAAGAACGACATTTCAAGGGATAAAATGGGAGAGGGAAAATGATGACAACGAAAGCTGTGTAAGGGTTTTAGTAAACATGAGTTATATCAGAGAGTAACAGCAGACAGAGCTTCCACAATGGAAACAGAATAGGTTGTTGGGCTCAAGCATAAACCAGTGTGACCAGAGAAATGGGAATAATTGGCATGATTTTTAAATGCATTTTGAGCAGGTATATTGTGGCCTAGAGTTGACTATTGATCCAAAAGGCTGCGAATCTCTGCAAGGCATGGTGGTGTGATATGCAAATGTTACGTGAATATAAGACTTACATGGCCACCTTTTCAATATCATATTTATTAAAGATATAATTTATCCAGCTCTAGATAAATGTTCATTTGTCACGACTCGACCAATAGTGAGGTGAAAACAAAATATTATAGGTTTGTCTGACTAAATGAGAATCTATATTACAAAAATGCAGATTTTTAATTAATATTTGCATTATGGTCCACATGCTGTATGCACCATTAAGCCTATTTAAACAATCTTAATATAATAAAAATCATGCTAAAATGTACAATATGTAAGTGACAACAGTATGACTTGGCGTAAGATGTACACAAACTCAGGCTCTAGGAATTAAAATAATGACATAAGCCACACTTATATATATATAGCTATTTAATTTCCACTTTTCTTTCACATACATTCACAAAAATAAAGCTAAAAAATGTCATTACTTATATATCAATTTCTTCTCTCTTAACAATAAGTAATATGTACACGTTAACATACAGGATGAGCAGCGGACGACGGAACACTTTTCTAAACCTCGGTGAAAAACTTTCCATGGACTGCATTGTACATAAGAATATAATAATAATTTACCTACAGCATGGCCTTTCTATTGTAGCTTCCGTTTAAGTTAAACAACCTAAAACACCCCCCCCCCCTCCCTTGCGTGAAGGGCACCACAAGCATTATACAGTAGCGTGTGGTCATCGTACTCAACTACACCGGCAGCTCCAGACTTATTAGTGAAACTGCTGCAACGCTGTCTTCACTCTGTGGGCAAATACAATTTATGTTGAATGCACACGCTTTGATAGTAAATGATAATATATAAGTTGAAAATTATTTACTAGATAGCTGGTAATTTATAAGCAAACAAAATGTAGAAAATTAAATGATAATAATGCTGTAATAAATAATAAAAACAAAACTAAATGCATGCATGTATGAACATTTTAAAATAAGGCTTTGAGTCAATATAAAAGCACTCTTCCGAGTGCAATAACCTGGCTTTTACTTACACACACTTGCAAAAGCTTTTCTATTCCTTGACCCTCAGGCGGCACAGCTAATAATACCTGACAACACCGCTGTGCACACGAAAAACAAAATTCTATTTTTTTCGTTTTCTAAGATTGTTAATCGCTGTTTGCATGAGCAAACAGCGCGAGCCTCCTCCCCATCGCCCCATCAACGGTGTTCCCTGATCATGGGGGAAAAAAAATTTGGAAATGACATATTTTGGCCGCAATAGGGCGAGGAAGTCTGGCAAGTTTCAGGCGCTGACGGAGTAGACGTCCTGGGCAGTCTCCTCCACCCGAACCGTCAGGCGGGAGTTGCCATAAAGATATTACAGTGGTACCTCGGAATATGAGTGTCCCTGTATACGAGTTTTTCGGAATATGAGCAGGATTTCCTCAGAAAATGTGCCTCGGAAGGTGAGGGTTACCTCAGAACACGAGTTTGTTGATAAGCGTACAGGCCGACCTAGTGCATGGTGATACAGTGATCGTCGTCCCTCCGCCCCTCTGGTCGGCCGGTCGGCCGAGCGGACAGCACGCGGGACTTGTGATCCTGTGGTCCTGAGTTCGATCCCAGGCGCCGGCGAGAAACAATGGGCAGAGTTTCTTTCACCCTATGCCTCTGTTACCTAGCAGTAAAATAGGTACCTGGGTGTTAGGCAGCTGTCACGGGCTGCTTCCTGGGGGTGGAGGCCTGGTCGAGGACCGGGCCGCAGGGACACTAAAGCCCCGAAATCATCTCAAGATAACCTCAAGATAACCCTCAGTTTACCAGTGCCTCACACCCAGTGACTATCCCACGTCAATTCTTCACCCGGATTTTCAGTGTTTTGTTGGATTTTTGGTCATTTGACCATAAAAGTTGTTATTATATATATATCTCACCATGGGTTCCAAGAAAGCCAGTGGTAAGGATCAAGGCAAGAAAGCCCATGTGAGGATGACAATATAGGAGAAACAAGAGATCATTCAGAAGCATGAAAATGGTACACGTGTTATTGAACTTTGTAGGCAGTACAACAAAGCCACATCAACAATATGCACTATACTTAAGAAGAAAAATGAGATTATGAGTGCCAAAGTGGCAAAAGGCGTAAGAACAATGACGAAACAAAGACCACAAATACTTGAAGAAGCAGAAATGTTGTTATTAATTTGAATACACAACAAGGAATTAAAGGGTGATAGTGTTTCAGAGGCCATCATTTGTGAGAAAGCCAGGGTATTGCACAAAGACCTTGTAAAGAAAACCCCTGCAACGAGTGATGCAGATACGAAAGAGTTTAAGGCAAGCAGGGGATGGTTTGAAAAATTTAGAAAGGGAAGTGGTATCCATAGTGTTGCGAGGCATGTGGAGGCAGCCAGCTCAGACAAACCAGCCGTTGGACGATTTATTGAGGAATTTAAAGAGTTTGCAGAGGCTGAGGGATACCTACTGCAACAAGTGTTTAATTGTGACGAAACAGGACTGTTTTGGAAAAGAATGCTTAAGAGGACATACATTACCAAGGAGGAAAAATCCTTGCCCAGACACAAGCTTATGAAAGATAGGTTTACGCTTGTGCTGTGTTCAAATGCGAGTGGCGATTTGAAAATTAAACCCTTGCTAGTGTATCATTCTGAAAATCCAAGGGTTTTCAAACAGTATAAAGTGCAGAAAACCCATTTGTGTGTGATGTGGAAGGCTAATAAAAAAGCATCTGTGACGGCTTATTTTATCGGAGTGGGTGAATGAAGTGGTGTGCCCTGTCATAGAAAAATATCTGCAGGAGAAACATTTGCCACTCAAAGCCGTGCTTCTCCTCGACAATGCTCCTGCTCATCCTCCAGGCTTGGAAGATGATTTGTTGCCCAGATACAATAAATTCCTCACAGTTAAATTCCTTCCTCCTAACACCACTCCTCTAATTCAGCCTATGGACCAGAAAATCATAGCGAATTTTAAGAAACTTTATGAAAGGGCACTTTTCCGGAAATGTTTTGAAGTGACTGAAGCCACAAACCTCACCCTCAAAGAGTTCTGGAAACACCATTTTAACATTTGTAGTGCTTTAAAACTCGTTGACAAAGCCTGGCAAGAAGTGACTCAAAGAACCCTGATCTCTGGCTGGAGAAAATTGTGGCCTGAATGTGTGAGAGAACTAGACTTTGAGGGGTTTAAGCCTCTAAATGATGCGCCTATTGTTGAGGAAATTGTTACTCTAGGCCAGTAAATGGGCTTGGAATTGGATGGTGATGATGTGGAGTTGGTGGAAGAACACAACGAAGAACTGACCACCGATGAACTCCAAGCCCTTCAACAGGAACAGCAAGACAACGCAGCTGATGATTCTACAGTGGAGGAGGATGAGGCAGTAGCAAATGTCCCTTCTGCAGTAATTAAGAAGGTGTGTCAGATGTGGGAAGAGATTCAAACAATTGTTGAAAAGACTCACCCAGAGAAAGCTGTAGTAGGCCGTTGCCTTAATCTTTTCAATGACAATGTGATGCCTTACTACAGAGACAGCTTGCGAAGAAGGGAAAAGCAAGCTTCCATGGACAGATTTGTGGTGAGGAAATCGAGCAGTGAGCCTCAACCAGGACCTAGTGGCACTCGGATAAAACGTCCCAGGGAGAGCACACCAGAAAGGTCCTCACTGCCTGATGTGATAATGGAAGGGGACTTCCCTTCCAAACAGTAACTCCTCTCCTCCTCCCCCCTCCTCACCATCTTCCATACGCCTACAGCATTCAACAGCAAGGTAAGTAATAGCTTGAACATAGTTTTGTAGGTTTATTTAGATGAATTAGGTATAAAAATTTAGTTTGATGTGGGGTTTTTGGGGTAGTCAGGAACGGATTAATTCATTTCCCATTATTTAATATGGGGAAATTAGCTTCGGAATACGAGTTTTCAGAATATGAGGCGTCTCCAGGAACGAATTAAACTCTTAAACTGAGGTATGCCTGTACAGGAAATAAACCTCACTTCGTTGGAAGACAGAAGAGTTAGGGGAGACATGATCACCACATTCAAGATTCTCAAGGGAATCGACAGGGTTGATAAAGACAGGCTATTTAACACAAGGGGCACACGCACTAGGGGACACAGGTGGAAACCGAGTGCCCAAATGAGCCACAGAGATATTAGAAAGAACTTTTTTAGTGTCAGAGTGGTTGACAAATGGAATGCATTAGGAAGCAATGTGGTGGAGGCTGACTCCATACACAGTTTCAAGTGTGGATATGATAAAGCCCAATAGGCTCAGGAACCTGTACACCTGTTGATTGACAGTTGAGAGGCGGGACCAAAGAGCCAGAGCTCAACCCCAGCAAGCACAACTAGGTGAGTACACACTCAAGTAACTTCTCCCCAGCTTTTGTATCACTCGATCCCTCCTACAGACCTGAAGCTGTAAACTTCTTGTTAAAGAAATTAGCCCACCAACCTTTGAAACTACCCGAGGTCGAGTTTGTGCGACCTTGCCTCACCTTTCAGGGACAGAGTCGTAGGTTAGGTCCCCTACAGATCTCCACTCAGGTCAACTCAACAACTGCACCAACAACAACAACGGAACCTTTATTGACTCTTACAGCCTGGTTGACCCGAACACCAATGACGAGGCCTGATCAGAGACTTGGCCTTAAGGATGTCAATCCACGGAATTATCGACAGGTAAACCACAACAACGGGACCGTTATTAACTCTAACAGCGTCAACAGGACTATTATTGACTTTTACAGCAGCAACAGGACTGTTATTAACTCTCATAGCATCAACAGAACCACTATTGACTCTTACAGTAGCAACAGGATTATTATTGACTCTTACAGCAGCAACAAGACCATTATTGACTCTTACAGCAGCAACAACACCATTATTGACTCTTACAGCAGCAACAACACCATTATTGACTCTTACAGTAGCAACAAGACAAGACCATTATCGACTCTTACAGCAGCAACAGGACCTGTATTGATTTACATAGCCACAGCATTGATTTTTGGACTCTTACCGCAACAAAATTTTCATACCTAAAATTATTGTCTAACCCACCAAATTCCTGCACACCTCACCAGTAGAGTACTGGCGAGACCAGTACGGCAACACGAGACAACTTACTTGTCAAACAATGCTGTGTCAGTTGTCGTCATCAGGTTTTGTAGTAGCTTATATACACCCATCTCGCGAAGTTTGTTTTGTCTCTCTGCGGCACCTTCCTCCACGTTCCAAATGAGGTTACTTATGCAAAACGTTGCTGCTATTTGAAGTTTGACGTTTGGTATAACCTGCGATGGATGATTTGCTGTACTAGTACTTGTACATTAAATTTAAACAAATTTATTTTGTATACAAATATACATAATGAAAACCATATGCATGAAGTGAACGATTTTGCACTTGAAAGTCAATTAAATACACCATGTTTACACACACAAATGCTGTCAGTCTTCAGGCTTTTGGGAAACGATTCATAAGGAGCTGACAGCTGACTTTAAGAGCATTTCTTTAAGAATTATCTGTCATCAGAGGGATTTATGGAAAAGCTTTATGTGTGTGTCAGTGTAGTAGTGGTAGTAGTGATGCTACAGAGACTAGCCTAGCCTAAACCAACCCATCCACACATTCAATAATCCCTTAAAAGATACATACCATATAATTCATTAGCTTTTTCAGGACATCTTCATTCGACATAATGGCAGATTTAGCCATGTCTCCATCAGCAATGTTGGCCAGGATACAGAGGGCTTGTTCTTTGACCTCAGCCGAGTGCTCACCTTCAAGAATCAAAATAATGGCCTGCAAACAGAACAAAATTAAACAAATTTTCAAGTGGCCGAGGACTAGCGACTCAGCCCAGCAAATTTACCCTTTATCTCAAGTTTATCGCAAGTTAAGGCATATGGAACTTGGAAACAAAATGCAACTTGTAAAATGTTCAAGTCTTCTATGCCTTAACTTGAGATAAACTTTGGGTGAAGTTGCTGGTTCTCAGCCACTTCAGTATTATTTTCTCTAAGCAGAATAAAAATCAAACATTGAATGCAATGAAACATCCATTTCTGGGCAACCTCATTAGATCTCTGGTGCATTATGTTCTGGTACTATTAAAAACCTATGACGTTGTGAGGCTTTTGGTCTTGTGCTGGCCTAACCAAAGCCAGCATCAATACCTAGTGTGGTTATAACAGATCTCTGGTGCATTATGTTCTGGTACTATTAAAAACCTATGACGTTGTGAGGCTTTTGGTCTTGTGCTGGCCTAACCAAAGCCAGCATCAATACCTAGTGTGGTTATAACAGATCTCTGGTGCATTATGTTCTGGTACTATTAAAAACCTATGACGTTGTGAGGCTTTTGGTCTTGTGCTGGCCTAACCAAAGCCAGCATCAATACCTAGTGTGGTTATAACAGATCTCTGGTGCATTATGTTCTGGTACTATTAAAAACCTATGACGTTGTGAGGCTTTTGGTCTTGTGCTGGCCTAACCAAAGCCAGCATCAATACCTAGTGTGGTTATAACAGATCTCTGGTGCAGTATGTTCTGGTACTATTAAAAACCTATGACGTTGTGAGGCTTTTGGTCTTGTGCTGGCCTAACCAAAGCCAGCATCAATACCTAGTGTGGTCATAACAGCCAAGGTACACCAGGCTACCTCGAATGGGGAAACCCCTTGAAAGGAGGACACTCAAACAGAGACAATATCACTCTGGTGAGGAAACTGGATGTGTAAAGTGATATCAAGGGCGAGAACCCCGAAACAATATTGGAACATACTAATAGGCTACGGATAGTTGGGAGCATATACAAAATCATGAAATATATCGAACTAAACACAGCCCCCTCTGTAAAACAACAATGTCCCAAGAAACACTATATCACTCGTCTAGAATGTAAAACGTAGAGGTCCTAACAGAGGCTCCAGTTGTTGTTGTTGTTGTTAAAGATTCGCTACCTGGAACAAAAAGTTCCAAGTAGCACGGGCTATGGTGAGCCCGTAGGAGGCTCCAGTGTGGTAAGTATTATCAGTCAAATGAGTTTGGGCACAGGCTGGCTGGACTCCTTCATGACCCAAGTGCAATGATTGTCCAGATTGACAAACAACTCCTTGCCTCATTTCACTTTTTACTCACTTTAATCAAGATTTGTCGCTTTCTTGTTTCACCTGGTAGTGTTAAAGGTGGCTCCGAGGCACTAGTGCCTAATGCACCCGGAACTACTATGGGGGGGGGGGGGCCACACCAGAAAAACTAATACTGTTCACACAAAAATGAATAATATACACATCTTAAAGACTACTATAATGTACGTAAATACACACTATCTAACAGTGTACATAATAGCAGATTTAGCCATGTCTCCATCAGCAATGTTGGCCAGGATACAGAGTGCTTGTTCTTTGACCTCAGTCGAGTGCTCACCTTCAAGATACACCATATCTTACAGTGTACGTAAATTCTCTATATCTTACAGTGTACGTAAATACATTATATTTTATTACAGTACATGGGCACATTGTAAAGTTCAATAACCAAATTGTGAAATGAATGAAGAATTTGGATAATGGAGCTTATTGTACATTGATCACACCTCACTGACTGACCTGCATTATTTCTTTACCATGGCACTGCATAATTTGGTCTATGTGTCCCTTGGTGGAGAGGAGGTTACGCAGGAGCCCCAGGGTCTTCATGAGGATGTGCACGTCTGTATCCGACAACAGGCGGAAGATTTGGTCCGTTCCCAAGTGGTGCAAAATGGAAACCTGAAAGACCAAGTTCATTGTTTATTAATTTGTGGTATTTACCATTATCATTATCACTATCATCAGCACCACCACCATGTTTTCCTAATTATTTTAGGGGTTGGGAGATATCTGCAGCAATAAGTTAGAAGAAAAATACAGTACTATATGTGAAAAGAAAGTCAAATACAGTGTAACCTTGGTTGATGAATACCTCCTCTTTACGAACTTTTCGGTATATGAGGTCAATATCCTGTAAAATTTGACTCACCATTCGAGGTTTGCCACGGTTGTCACGTTTGTTGATACATGTTTGGACCAACGAGCACGTGGTTTTGCCGGGCATGGGGCGAGGCACGATTTCTTTACCAGTATATCCCGCCTAATGGCGACCGTGCTTGAATTCTTTTAGAAGAATTTCATTATTTTTCTGCTTTTTTGTTTTTTTTGGAACATGAAACCAGAGTTGAATGTAATGAAATGGCATTTTCTGGGTGAGCGCCAGAGGCTCCCAGGAGCTATCGTACTGATACTAGCTATATTAATCTGGAGCTTCAGTCATATAGAGTTCTTATGCCTACTGGGAACCACGAACCAGAACCTGATTCCCTCAGAGAGGCGAAGGGAGCAATGGCCTATGAAAACTCTACTCTTTGATAATATATTCATGTTTGCCATCAACCGAGGTTAGGCACCCAGAAAGGTAGGCGCCCCAAAACAGACCCCAACTGGTAGAAAATTGCAACCCAAGATCGAACAGAGCATAAGAACTTCCCCCAAGAAAAACAAGGTAACAAGCATATCGTCATTAATTAACCCGTCACGCCGCTCCTTTTGTGGGGGAGGGGGGGAGGGGGAGGCCCCCCGCCAATTCAATCAGGCCTCCTGCTCACTAATTCGGAGACTGAGCAAACAGGAGAAAAAGCGACGACCTAAGGAAGGGAGGGTGCCAGGGAGCCTCCGGGACTCACCCGGAAAATGGCATTTCATTCCATTCAATGCTGGTTTTCTGTGGGGAGCCCCATTAGTTCCCTGGTGCTAACTACCCAAAGAGAAGGAAAAGAGGGACTTACCCGGGAGACAGCAGCGGCAACGCGTGCCTCAGGATGAAGACAGGACAACTGGCTGCAACCAACGACCCAAGGCAACACAAGACTGCTGAGGGCCCGGAACATTCATGAGATAATGGGCAGCCAGGACCTTGTTCGACCTCCAAAACCCCTGTGCCCGAATGTCAGCCCAAAACATGTTCCCAAACACAGCAGCAAGAGCCGCAAATTTCCAAACGTCGTGGGCACAAGAGTAGACTACAGCCTGGCTAGACTTGATAACCCTGCGGACACCCGAACCCAGGAACAGGGAATGAGGTATATCAGAAAAACCCAAGACACGTCCTCGGACACAGAACCAGAGGCGTACAGGTAACAGTGTAACGTTGCAACCAGACACAAAACATGATGACTTCCCCACCCCCCAGCCTGACCAACCAAGCATCAATAACCCACTGACCCCTCCAGAAGCCCGCTGTCTCATTCTACGCCAGAAAGAAGGAGATGGCTGTAAACAAACAAAATATCCACCAGGACCAAAAAGAGCAGAAACCCCTGCGCCAGAAGAGAGCATGAAGCTCACTGACTCGACACCCAAAGGCCAAAGCCAACAAAAACAAAGCCTTCTGAAAACAATCTTCAACCGAAGGGACCACAACAAACCGAGGAGAGAGAAAGGAGAGCATCCAATCCAAAGATTTGGATGGCTCAGGTGGCGCATGACCAGGCCAGAGGTGGAAAAACGCACGAGAAAGCTTATTGGAACGGAGCCGAAGTGACATCCATCCCGAACGCAAGCTGGAGCGGCTCCGCCAGCGCCGCATAAGAGGCGACAGTATTTGGCATAAGATATCGGTCCTGAAAGAGCCTAGAAAGGAAAGAAAAAAACAACACGAACAGAAACAGATGTCAATCTACGAAGAGAAAGGAAGTGGTGAATGGCGACAGAACGTCAACAAGAGACACTCATACTGTCGTCAGGAAGCAGACCGCAGGTGAGATACCATAAGACATGGCACCTGATGACCATACAAGTGGTGATACACACACCTCAGAAATACCAGACGCGAAGAGCGGAAGAGTAGATCAAACCAGTAAGGTACCTCACTGGGCCAATCTGCTGATAAAGGCGGAGCCGCGGAAAACGGCCCGATCTACTGAAAAAGGCGGAGCCGTGGAAAACTTCCCGGGTTCGGACACTGAGCAAGTAGTGCCTGAAACCAAGGCTGAGCCAGCCACAATGGGACCAGAAGAACCTTTCCCTGATAGGACTCCAGCCAGGCCAGAACCCAAAGTAACAGCTGGACCGGAGGGAAGAGGTAAAGGTAACCCAATCTTGCCAAGTCTTGCTGAAAAGTGTCTACCATGACGGCTTCACAGTCGCGGAAGGGTGCCACATATATTGGAAGGTGCCTCGACAACACAGACGCAAATAGGTCCACCTCTGGGGACCCGAACGTGCGGCAAAGTCAACTGAAGAAGTCGGCATAGACCGTCCATTCCATGGACAGGGGAATGAACCAAGACAGGCCGTCCGCCAGGACATTGGACACGCCCCTGATGTGAACCGCACGGAGAGCTAAACCTCAAGAACTCAGCAGAAGAGCCACTCGAAGCGACCAGCCCCAAAGAGCCAAGGATCGAATAGACTCCCTGCGCTTTAGGCAATGAACCACCGGGGCACAGTCCAAATGGAGCCGGATCGTAAAGCCTTGAGTAAGCCGAATCTACCGCAGCGAAAGCCACACTGCTGCAAACTCCCACACCATGCTGTGAGCCCTACAGAGCGACGCCACCCACTGCCCCTTGCCGGTTTAGTGAGTACTGGTCACAAAGCCCCAGCCAGGAATTGAGGCATCCGTGAACACATCGAGCGAAGGCTCCGGAAGACACCAAGGTACCGAACCCCCGAAAAACCCAAAAGGGAAGCTGGAGACTCAGCACCCGATGCAAGGCCCCAGTGAATGAATCCAACAATTGCGAGAGCAGCGGGAGGGACGGCCCCGAAGGAACCAGAACAGAATGGACGGAACCAAATGGGACTTCCTCCAGTTCACCAGAAACCCAAACCCGGCAAGCTGGGAAAGTACCAAATCCCTGGCGAGCAGACAAGCAGACCGGCTGGGAGCCAACATCAACCAGCTGTCAGGGTAGGCCCACACCTGAACACCTAGCAGACACAGACTGGCCACCATGATCTAGGGGTAAGACACGGGAAAACGAGTTTCTCGCTGGAAACGAGAAAGAAACCCACTTGAGGGATGAAGTCGTTTTGACCACGCACAAGTGGACCCACTGCAGGATGATCTGATGGAGTGAAGGGGAAGCAGCCTGCCCCAATCCTTCGAGAGGAGAAGGAGCCGCCCAACACCACCACAGGCTGGAGGACATGACCAGAAATGCCCACAAATCGTGAAACCAAGTGTAGGCGAACAGAGCCAGCATCCTTCCCCCAGCACCCTGTCATCGGGGTGACCCGCGAAAGGGACGGTGCCCTCTCCAAGAAGCCGACTTACGTGCAGAGACTTACGTCCACCACGCAGACCAGACGAAGACGGCTCCAGAGGAGGCACTGGCACAGAAGCCGATACAGAAGCTGACAGCAAGGATCCACCTCGACCTGCAGAGACCTGAACCCTTGGCACGACCTGTCTGGGAAGCACGAGAACGCCTACCCCAGATCACCAACAAATCGGAAAAGGGCAGCAACTAGCAGAAGCCGCCTGCAAAAACTGAGAAACAACCGAGTTCGAAAACAATAACGGACGAAAGGGAGACAAAAACTTAATTAAGAGCCAGGGAGCTCAAGCCAAATAAAAAAGAGCGGAGATGGCCTACCCAACACGTGAGACGAGAGGCAAAAAAACAGAGACACCACCTCCCGGAGGATAGGTGCATACAGTGTCAGCAACGCCGCCGACTCCTGAGCAGCCGAGGCCAATGCTCCAGACAACAGCCTAGCACTCAATGCCTCCACATTCTCCACAAGCTAATCCGAGGACTGTTCGAGAAGAGGAAAGAAGCGCAGGACCGAGGCCAGATGCCCAGGAGCACGAAGATCCTCCACAACCAAGGCTGCCGAAAGGGAAGGGACCTGGGTGTGCAACTACCTTGAGGTTACCTTGAGGTGCTTCCGGGGCTTAGTGCCCAGGAGTCGTCGACCAGGCCTCTGGTTGCTCTGATCAACCAGGCTGTTAGACGCGGCTGCTCGCAGCTGACGTATGAGTCACAGCCTGGTTGATCAGGTATCCTTTGGAGGTGCTTATGTTCTCTCACACTGTGAGGGGTCGGCCAGTTATTCCCCTTATGTGTAGATAACTAGAGCAAGTCAATCTCACAAGAAAGCACAGGGGCATAAAGGCACACACTGAAGTGCTCAAAATCGCTCCCCAGGTAAACCTACAATACCGTAGTAAGCTCCCACTAATGCAGAACGGGTATGGTTCTAATGCTTGGGGCGTGGCAGGTATGACAGAACCCGTGCTATGCCCCAAGCGAAAAGAACCAAGCATTCAGCGGAGAAACCTGGGTGTGCCGTGCCGTAAAAATACGTTAAAGGTTCCTGTTATGCACAATGCCACCCTGCTGTGACTACCATCAGTCACAGGGGGAAGTACTACTACTACTGGGGGAGCCGGTCGGCCGAGCGGACAGCACGCTGGACTTGTGATCCTGTGGTCCTGGGTTCGATCCCGGGCGCCGGCGAGAAACAATGGGCAGAGTTTCTTTCACCCTATGCCCCTGTTACCTAGCAGTAAAATAGGTACCTAGGTGTTAGTCAGCTGTCACGGGCTGATTCCTGGGGGTGGAGGCCTGGTCGAGGACCGGGCCGCAGGGACACTAAAAGCCCCGAAATCATCTCAAGATAACCATGATCTTTTCAAAGTGGACAAACAGTAACCTAGCCTTAGGGAGCATCTGAGCAATACATAACTTGGACAACAGAGCAGGTGATGGGACAACAGAGCCAGTGGTGGTGCAACAGATGATGGTACAATCACCTAATCATTAACATGCAGTAATTGTCTTAACTACAGCTGGTTTGGAGAGTTTTCCTACTCTCACAGCCTGGTCTTATATTACCTTACGACAACTGCCAGATACGACAGCAGGCGCGAGACAGTGACAGTACCAAGGGAGTAGATAAATATCAAGTTACCAATAAATGTATCACTAACCTTCACTCTGTGCTCCGCCTGGAACGCCATGTTCATTAAAGCCCACACAGCATTTAGCCTGAGTCCAGGGTGTGGCCGTCTCGTGAGACCACATAGAAACTCTACCGCTCCCTGATCCAAAATGTGCTCCTTAGACGGCGAGAACTCCAGCAGGAGGTTACAGAGCGTAGAGGACGCTACTGTCACCAGTTCTTCACTACTAGAGGTTTTGAGCACCGTCATCAGAGGTCTCCACACCATGTGGTCCTGGCCAAACAAAAATATGAAATGTTATACTAATAAAATGATTAGAGCATAAGAATAAAGGTTACTACAGAAGGCATATTTGGTCCATGCAAGTCAGCTCGTATTTATATCCACCCAAACTCACTCGTTCACATGTCAAACCTGCACCTGAAACAATCTAGTAATTTCATGTCTAATAATTCCATGTTTTTCTCATCCTCATCCTCATATCGGACATAGACAAGAACACAACCTATAGCACTGTATCATCCTTTGCAGATGACACTAGGATCTTCATGAGAGTAGGCAACATAGAGGACACGGCAAACCTCCAATCAGATGTAGATCAGGTCTTTCTATGGGCTACAGAAAATAATATGGTGTTTAACGAAGATAAGTTCCAGCTCATGCGCTATGGAAAAAATGAAAATATAAAAACGGAAACCACGTACAAAACTCAGGCAAATCATAACATAGAACGAAAAGGCAATGTAAAGGATCTGGGTGTACTCATGTCGGAAGACCTTACCTTTAAAGAACACAATAAAGTAGCCGTCACAACTGCAAGAAAAATGACAGGTTGGATAACAAGAACTTTTCACACTAGAGATGCTATACTGATGATGATACTTTTCAAAACGCTTGTGCTCTCTAGAGTGGAGTACTGCTGCACAATGACAGCACCTTTCAAAGCTGGAGAAATTGCTGACCTGGAGAGCGTGCAGAGATCCTTTACTGCTAGAATCCACTCAGTAAAACATCTAAACTATTGGGACCGACTAAAGAGCCTAAAACTGTACTCCCTTGAGCGCAGGCGGGAGAGGTACATAATAATTTACACGTGGAAAATATTAGAGGGGCTGGTCCCAAACCTGCACACAGAAATAACATCACATGAGACCAGAAGACATGGCAGGATGTGCAGAATACCCCCGTTGAAAAACAGAGGTGCAACAGGTACTCTGAGAGAGAACTCTATCAACATCAGAGGTCCGAGACTGTTCAACACGCTTCCACTACACATAAGGGGCATAACTGGCCAACCCCTCACAGTGTTCAAGAGAGAACTATCAACATCAGAGGCCCGAGACTGTTCAACACGTTTCCACTACACATAAGGGGCATAACTGGCCGACCCCTCACAGTGTTCAAGAGAGAACTGGATAAGCACCTCCAAAGGATACCTGATCAACCAGGCTGTGACTCATACGTCAGGCTGCGAGCAGCCGCGTCCAACAGCCTGGTTGATCAGTCCGGCAACCAGGAGGCCTGGTCGACGACCGGGCCGCGGGGACGCTAAGCCCCGGAAGCACCTCAAGGTAACCTCAAGATAAGGTAATATGTTACCACATATTTGCAAACCAGTATTTTATCAGGTCTTTCCTGAATCTAAACTTCTCTAATTTGTATACAATGTTAGGTGTTCTATAGTGTGTGTTGATAACAACAAGAAACAGAAAAGCCTGACAGATACCTAACATAATTCACTGAAACTGCCTTTAAACAAACTTCTTTCTCCTCTTGAATTTGTTTGCAAAGACAACATTTATACCATACCATATCAGTAAAGCAACATGATCAATACTGGACACAATCCCTTTAAGTCTCATTTCAACTAATTGAATAGAAACATATTGCAATCATACTTGAATAAAGAAATATAAAAATAGCAGAACCAATAAAGAAAAAACAAACAATCCTAAATGCTTTTAAACATACGCAAAGAAAATATAATTAACCTCTGCTAAAAGAACTTTTATTTACAAGAAAATGCCATAACCAATGACAAAAATCCAGCATTTAAGGTAATGATGTGCCTCTTTCTGGTGGATCCCTCATATTTTCCCGAGCTACTCGCCTGCTTGATACCTGCTGGATGGGGTTCTGGGAGTTATTCTACTCCCCAAGCCCGGCCCGAGGCCAGGTTTGAACGTTCTACAAGGAACGTTCCTCACTTAAGGTACCAAATAAAGGCTCTTAACGAATCATGAACACCTACCCGAGACCATGACCAGAATCTGGCCCACTCAATACAGAGACAGAAATCTTTGGGAACACAAGATCACCACATTATCAAAGGGAAAAACAGCAGACAGAAAGAGAGCACCAAAACCATCAACAACACAGTATGCTTCTCATACGCACACTGTTCATACACCTATGCCATCATTTCAGTGTTGTCTTAAATTTCTGACCAGCAAGATGGAGCCATGTAAACGTTGTACTGTAAAACCAGAACCACATCACAGCCTGGTCCCCCTACAGGTGCCGCCAGAACCACATCACAGCCAGGCCCCCCCTACAGGTGCTGCCAGAACCACACCACAGCCAGGTCCCCCTACAGGTGCCGTCAGAACCACATCACAGCCAGGTCCCCCTACCGGTGCCGCCAGAACCACATCACACCCAGGTCCCCCTACAGGTGCCACCAGAACCACATTACAGCCAGGTCCCCCTACCGGTGCCATCAGAACCACATCACAGCCAGGTCCCCCTACAGGTGCCGCCAGAACCACATCACAGCCAGGTCCCCCTACCGGTGCCGTCAGAACCACATCACAGCCAGGTCCCCCTACAGGTGCCGCCAGAACCACATCACAGCCAGGTCCCCCTACAGGTGCCGCCAGAACCACATCACAGCCAGGTCCCCCTACAGGTGCCGCCAGAACCACATCACAGCCAGGTCCCCCCTACAGGTGCCGCCAGAACCACATCACAGCCAGGTCCCCCCTACCGGTGCCGCCAGAACCACATCACAGCCAGGTCCTCCTACAGGTGCCGCCAGAACCACATCACAGCCAGGTCCCCCCTACAGGTGCTGCCAGAACCACACCACAGCCAGGTCCCCCTACAGGTGCTGCCAGAACCACATCACAGCCAGGTCCCCCCTACAGGTGCTGCCAGAACCACATCACAGCCAGGTCCCCCTGCAGGTCCTGCCAGAACCACATCACAGCCAGGCCCCCCTACAGGTCCTGCCAGAACCACATCACAGCCAGGTCCCCCTACAGGTGCCGCCAGAACCACATCACAGCCAGGTCCCCCTACAGGTCCCGCCAGAACCACATCACAGCCAGGTCCCCCTACAGGTCCCGCCAGAACCACATCACAGCCAGGTCCCCCTACAGGTCCCGCCAGAACCACATCACAGCCAGGTCCCCCTACAGGTCCCGCCAGAACCACATCACAGCCAGGTCCCCCTACAGGTGCTGCCAAACCCGAGAAGGTCGTGCTTCCTGACCTCTTGAGGTTATCTTGAGATGATTTCGGGGCTTTTAGTGTCCCCGCGGCCCGGTCCTCGACCAGGCCTGCCATAGGGTGAAAGAAACTCTGCCCATTGTTTCTCGCCGACGCCCGGGATCGAACCCGGGACCACAGGATCACAAGTCCAGTGTGCTGTCCGCTGCTTCCTGACCTCTAATGATCGTATAATGTACCTAGTGTTTAGGAAAGTTCCAAAGGAGTAGACCCATGGCCACGGTTGCTAACCATATCAGCCTTAAGGATAGAAGACAAGGAAGGCATTTGTGAAACACGAAACGAAGAAATAATGTTCACAACAAAGATGGTCATCATCAAGAATGTGGATATCGTGATCACAAGCGAGCATGTGGATATCACTGTCACAAGAGTGGTGGCACTGTCCCACCACACATCAATGATGGCCCCATTAAATTGTCCGCCAGAACAATGGTACCATTATCTCGTCCACAACAATGATGGCCCCATTATCTCGTCCACAACAATGATGGCCCTATTATCTTGTCCACAACAATGATGGCCCCATTATCTCATCCACAACAATGATGGCCCCATTATCTCGTCCACAACAATGATGGCCCTATTATCTTGTCCACAACAATGATGGCCCCATTATCCCGACCACAACAATGATGGCCCCATTATCTTGTCCACAACAATGATGACCCCATTATCCCGACCACAACAATGATGGCCCCATTATCTTGTCCACAACAATGATGGCTCCATTATCTCGTCCACAACAATGATGGCCCCATTATCTTGTCCACAACAATGATGGCTCCATTATCTTGTCCACAACAATGATGGCCCCATTATCTTGTCCACAACAATGATGGCCCCATTATCTTGTCCACAACAATGATGGCCCTATTATCTTGTCCACAACAATGATGGCCCCATTATCCCGACCACAACAATGATGGCCCCATTATCTTGTCCACAACAATGATGACCCCATTATCCCGACCACAACAATGATGGCCCCATTATCTTGTCCACAACAATGATGGCTCCATTATCTCGTCCACAACAATGATGGCCCCATTATCTTGTCCACAACAATGATGGCTCCATTATCTTGTCCACAATAATGATGGCTCCATTATCTTGTCCACAACAATGATGGCTCCATTATCTTGTCCACAACAATGATGGCTCCATTATCTTGTCCACAACAATGATGGCTCCATTATCTTGTCCACAACAATGATGGCTCCATTATCTTGTCCACAACAATGATGGCTCCATTATCTTGTCCACAACAATGATGGCTCCATTATCTTGTCCACAACAATGATGGCTCCATTATCTTGGCCACAACAATGATGGCCCCATTATCTTGTCCACAACAATGATGGCCCCATTATCTCGTCCACAACAATGATGGCTCCATTATCTTGGCCACAACAATGATGGCCCCATTATCTTGGCCACAACAATGATGGCCCCATTTCCTCATGCACAACAATGATGGCCCCATTATCTTGTCCACAACAATGATGGCCCCATTATCTTGTCCACAACAATGATGGCCCCATTATCTTGGCCACAACAATGATGGCCCCATTATCTCGTCCACATCAATGATGGCCCCATTATCTCGTCCACAACAATGATGGCCCCATTAACTTGGCCACAACAATGATGGCCCCATTACCTCATGCACAACAACAACAATGACCTATAATCTTGTCAACAACGATGGCCCCTATTATTTCATCCACAACATACCAAAATCATTTATGGCCCTGTAGGAACCATTTTAAAAGTTCCTAGGTGCCAATCTCGAGAAAGACACATGCCATTCACTGTCCTTGTCCAGGGATAACCAAATGTGACTAGCTCAGTTGTAACACCATAAAGGTGTTTTGGCTGTACTTTGTATTTAATATATACATAGTACAGGAGTCAGTCAGACAAGATTTTGAGAGGCGTCAAGGTGTCCGACCCATACTCACGCCTCTAAAGTGTTAATGACCACAAGTTGACCTGTGGTCAGGTCGTGTCATTTCACCTCGCTTCTGCTAAGCTGATAATAGCAGACAGTTGGTGGTGTCTTTCCATCAAACAAGCCGCTGGTTAAGGTGTGGCTTGGTAGATGGCCTGGGGCTATCTACTTGTGGGCGGAGTTTAGCTACCAATTTCACAATAAATACCCAGGGAACTGTACATTCGAGAGCAAAACACAGCACAGCAGCCGAGACAGGCTGTTGGCCGGGCCTGACGGGGGGACTGTCAACTGTAGGCCTCCCCCATTCCGCTATTCTACTTAGGCTCAGTCCTTGGTGAGCGAACGTTAAGGTGACTTTGTTCATGGTTTCCAACCATTAAGTGTTGTGTGATTATCAGGGACATACAGCTATAGTGACCTCAATGTCTTGTGTGGTGACTCGCATTGTTTATTAATCTGGATATAGTGAACCTTAAGTTCGATAAAGCTTGAATTATAATATTTATCATGTTAAATATAATTGATGAATTTATTGTTTAAATTGTTTTTAATTTTGTTTCCAAGAGATTTGTGAGTTGAGGTGAGAGAGCCTCTGAGTTTACTGATTTAAGATTCCAGTTAATACATGCTAACAACATCTTTGATAATTTTGTGATACAGACGAGTTCCATTCCTTGTCTTGCATGTACTGACTTAGGATGGATAGTGGCAGCCCTTTCTACTACTGTACTTCTTTTCTCTTTTCTACCTATACTTATCTACCTTTCTACTTCTACCTATCTATCTTTCTATCATCTACTTTTATTTTCTACTCTCCTCTCCCTCTCCACCTCTCTTCCACTTTCCCTTTCAACTAACGACACTCCTCGCTACTCCCAATACTCCTGACTTCATACTCCTCCCATCTACCTCCTACATCTCTTCCTCCCTCACCCCAAACCCTCACTCATTACTTCATTATTCATTTCATTTCACCCCCCCATTACACAGTAATAGGATGCCAAGCCCTAAATCAATACAAAATAATCTCCCAAGACTTATGTATCGAATCCAATTAAAGAATAATTGAAGAAAAAGTAGACATATTTAACACTATTGCGCTCTTTGGACACCGATCACGTCCATTTTTTTTCTCTCAAGTCCTAGCCGTCGATAGGACTCACGTCCACTACAAAAATATTTATATAAAATTCATTTTTTATCCAATCGACCTCGGGACAGTTTCAAAATAAGCGCCTTTAGAATGCGCAAAATTTGATACCAAAATGAAAGATGTAACACGAAACTTGATGTCAGAATACTTGAAAGATTATAAATACGTTTTTGGGTGTAAATTTTAAATTTTAAAATATTTGTTAAAATTCTATTTATTGTGCTATTATTATGGGACTAGTTTTAAAATGCGCGCCTTTAGATTGCAAACAATTTGATACCAAAATGAGCGACGTAACACGATAATTGATATCAGAACACTGGAAAGATATAAATAATTTTGATGACGAGAGTCCAAAATTAAAATATTTGTTAAAATTCCAGTTATTGCTCTACAGTATTATTACGAGACTAGTTTTAAAAAAATCGCCTTTATATTGTGAACAATTTGATACCAAAACAAGTGATGTAACATGAAAATTGATGTTATCAAACTGAACGAGTTTACACATTAGGTTGTGGTGTGCAAATTGGTGCTCGTTCACGGGTAACTTTAGGCTTTGCTGTGGGGAGTCTCGCCAGACTTTTGGACATTATATGCACATACATCTGCAGGGAATTTAATTGCAAACACAATGAAACCAAAACGAACAACGTAGCATGAGAATTAAGGTGAGAAAACTGAAACGAATATACACATTTAGGCGTCGCTGCACGCTCACCCGCATCAATAGCCCCATAACGTCAAAGTCTGCAGTGCTCATGTGGCGCGTGTGATAATGTTAAATCCCCAAAAAGCTATCATGAAGTTGCACTGCTAAAAATTATTAGGCAACACTGAACCTTTTCAGTAAGTATCTTAAGTCCAAAACAAATTTAGCGATATGTAGACGATGAATCACAATAACGGGGCCGAAGACATGGTAACCAAACCACACATCAGAAGATGGAGAAACAAAGATGTTCCGGTCCGTAATCGGTCTGCATTATAAACAATACGACTTGATAATGGTCCAAGAGGGACCGAAATGTTGTCGTTTCTCCGTCTTCTGGTGTGTGGGTTTGGTCATCATCTAAAGAGATATTTCTCAGGTCAGCTGGAAACAGCAAGAGCATTAGATAGAAAAAATAAAGAAAAATTACTAACTGAATCCAAGACAAAACAAGTGATGGATAAATGAACATTCTCCAAAAGATTAATCCAACTTGTCCTGCCCTTCCATGTTCAATACACTGTACTGTATATGGTATTCAGAATTATTGCATATTGTTACAATTCCCAGTAGGATAAGCATAGTGTCAGCCATCTGTGAATATTGTCTTACATATCCTAACACAACAAGAAATAAAAATATTACAAGCTTAAAAATTCAAAGAAACAATACTAAGTATGTAATATTTTGCAAAGAAATTCTCACCTGAAAAGTTGTCCTGAGTGTATGAACAGATCTTGAAAGAGAGTGGAGGCACCTTACTGCTGCTAGTTGGACTGGCGGACAAGCTGCCGACAGTGACGTAACTATGGTATTCATAAGGCCATCCGTCTTAATGACTCTTTGTCGGATATCTTCATCGTTAGCTCCTAGAGAAGCATATACTTTAAGTGCAGCTTCTAGCATTAGCTCGGGCCACGTGCTTGGGTTGTCATACTGTCGACACGACTGAAAAACAAAAGTTGCATACACTATTGGTTCAAAAATAATATTTCCTATCTCTCACCTCAAGGTAACCTCACACAATCTCTGTATCATACTGGAGTGTATTCACCTAGTTGTATTCATCTAGTTGTGCTTGCAGGGGTTGAGCTTTGCTTTTTTGGCCCGCCTCTCAACTGTCAATCAACTATTACTAACTACTAATTAATTAATTTTTTCCTACACACACACGCACCCTTAGGAAGCAGCTCCATAACAGCTGTCTAACTCCCAGGTACCTATTTACTGCTAGGTAAGAGGGGCATTCAGGGTGAAAGAAACTTTGCCCATTTGTTTCTGCCTGATCCGGGAATTGAACCCAGGCCACAGAATTACGAGTCCTGGGTGCTGTCAACTCAGCTACCAGACCCCCAGATAAATATACAAGATAGTGTATACAAGATAAATTGTGCAAGCTCATCTTCAAGGATGTTTTGAGCCTATTTAGTAATTGTTCAAACCACACTTTCTTTCTCTCTTCTATTTTCAACTTAACCAAGATTCCATCACACATCAGCATTTGGGCGGATGGTTGACCTGATTTTCATGGATTCCCGCTACAGTGTTTACATATATCATTTATATAATTTATTACTCTTAGTAGATCCATAAACTGACTGACAAGAAATGCATTAATCTTTCTTAGTGAAGTGATTAAGCACGTCTTGTACAGTACCTACTGGGTAATACCGTGTATATTCGGAGTGGTCATTTATCACAACATTCTGTCTACTTTGTATTCCCTTATACAGTAACTTATTATTCATTTAAAAGAAATACTAAAGCGTTGCTTTATTATACGATCCTATTCTTTAAATTTAACCCCTAAACTGCGCAAAGCATCATTAGCTGTGGTGAGTAACTGTAGCAGAATTGCGAACCACATCTATTGATGTGTTGGAGTACCACAAAAGATGTAAAAGTCCACAGCTACACAGGGTTCACATCAGCTTTCTCAGGGATTATTACGACCCTGGGTTCCTCAAGTGGAAACAAGAGGTCAAATTGAGCTAAATAAGCTACCTAAGATTAGTGAGACGCATGGCGAGGTGTTGATGTTTGTATCTTCCTTGCCAGACGTAAGATGAATCTTGATTGCTCACAAAATATTCAGACTCTTGAGCTTGTTGTGGATTAAGTATAATATTGTAGTAATTACTTTCCCTAGACCGAGTAAAGTAAACAATATGGTACATAGGTGAAGATTGTAATGGGTATAGCTGCACGATCAATTAGGCTCTTCCCGGCACCACACAACTCGGGAGCCCTGAGCTGGTCGCTGGGTGGGGTCTTCTCTGCTGGCGTTCGAGGTGTAAACATCTGGACTGGGTGGCTTGGCGCCTCTCCCCTTCTGCCTTCTACTCTCCCTTACCTATTTCTATGTCTAGTGTCTAAGTTAAGTATAGAATGTTAATTGTGCCTACTCTGGTATTGTAAGATTGGTGTAGGGGGGGGGGTAGTATTTGCCAGTGTTTTGGGTACCCCCTAGTGTTGTGTTGTGTTGTGTTGTGTTGTGTTAGGGTACCACGTGGTCTCACTACCCTAAGCTGCTTCAAGCTTCAGGTTCTTCACTAGTAGTACCCTTCACTAGTAGTACCCCTAGCTTGTTCTCAGTGTAAACCTTGTATCCTGCTTATGTGGACCAAGGCTTTTAACGTAAGATAGTGTGGTAAAGTAATTATTATTATTGTTTTTGATGTGAATGTATATGGGGGTTGTTAAGGGGTTAATAAGTAAGTTAGTTAGTTAAAGGAGTATTCATTCTTCCTGTGTAGGAGATCTATGATCAACCTCTAGACTGACATTATCTTGTAGCCAATTAATATTCACTGTTGATAATTTTATTTGGGGGCTGGGCCTTTTGGATCTCCCATATGTGATAACTCTTAATGCTAACTACTGCCCCTACATCCATTTATACTAGATCCCCAATAGTACAGCCCACGATTTATAACAGGGATCTTGTAAACAGACACCAATTTTTTTTAAATCCTGTGGCAACATTCCTGGGTGTGAGAGCCTCAGTACTGAGTGAGCAACCAAGGTTGGCACATGCAGCATGAACTAACAGCACTGCTGTTCAGCTTGTGACCACAGCATCGCCTAAAAATGTCAAAATATATATGTAACTAGTACTATTTAGTGATGATAATATTACAGAAGACCCCTGACTGATAAAAATTACCAGAATTCTGATAATCGCAGGATTGCTGTGATAATTAGCGCTGTGCGTAGTATGGTGGGTGGAGTAATGCTGAGGGAGGGAGGGAGGGAGGGAGTTAGCATCAACCAATCATCAATGACCCAAGGCCCCCCTGGTTGATACCTGGTTGATGGGGGTTCTGGAAGTTCTACTCCCAAGCCCGGCCCGAGGCCAGGCTTGACTTGTGAGTTTGGTCCACTAGGCTGTTGCTTGGAGCGGCCCGCAGGCCCACATACCCACTGCAGCCTTGTTGATCTGGCAATCCTTGGAGGAAACTTTCTAATTTCCTCTTGAAGATGTCCACGGTTGTTCTGGCAATATTTCTTATGCTCGCTGGGACAATGTTGAACAGCCGTGGACCTCTGATGTTTATACAGTTCTCTCTAATTGTACCTATGGCACCCCTGCTCTTCACTGGTTCTATTCTGCATTTTCTTCTATATCATTCATTCCAGTATGTTGTTATTTTACTGTGCAGATTTGGGACCTGGCCCTCCAGTATTTTCCACGTGTATATTATTTGACATCTCTCCCGTCGTCTTTCTAGCGAGTATATTCAGAGAGCTTTCAGACGATCCCAATAATTTAGATGCTTTATCTCGATTATGTATCCCGTATATGTTCTCTGTACTCCCTCTATTTCAACAATCTCTCCTGCTCTAAATGGGGAAGCGAGTACTGAGCAGTACTCAAGACAAGACAGCACAAGTAATTTGAAGAGTACAACCATTGTGATAGGGTCCCTGGATTTGAAAGTTCTCATAATCCATCCTATCACTTTCCTGGCTGCCGCAATATTTGCTTGGTTATGCTCCCTAAAATTTAGGTCGTCAGACATCATTATTCCCAAGTCTTTTACATGTTACATGTTGCTTTCCTACTATGGGCAAATTTAATTGCGTTTTGTACCCTGTATTATGTTTAAGGTTCTCATTTTTACCGTATCTGAATACCTGGAATTTATCGCTGTTAAACATCATGTTATTTTCTGCTGCCCAGTCGAAAACTTTATTAATATCTGCCTATGGAAATCAATCGTCTCATTCTTCGCCAGAAAAGGAGAAGGCTGCAACCGAACAAACCTACCACCAGGACTGAAAGAGCAGAAACCCCTGCACCAGGGTAAAGCATGCAGCTCCCCGACCCAACCCCCAGAGCCCAATGCCAACAGAAAGAGAGCCATGGAAAAACAATCTTGAACCGAAGAGGCCACCACAAACTGAGGAGAGGAAAGATAGGAGAGCACGCTGTCCAAGGACCAGGATGGCTCGGGCAGCGCATGAGCAGGACCGAAGGTGAAACAAAACACGAGAATGCTTACAGAATGGGGCAGAAGAGACATCCACCCCGAACGCAAGCTGGAGCAGCTCTGCCAGTGCCATATGATACAAGGCGACAGTATTAGACATCAAAGGACAGTCGTGAAATAGCCAAGACAGAAAGGACAAGACAACCCGATCCAAAATAGAAGACAACCTACGAAGAGAGAGAAAATGTTGGAAAGAACACAAGGAAACTTCATATTGTTGCTGAGATGAAGCTCTTAGGTGGGACACCACCAATGAAGCCACCTGATCATCATATAAATGGTGATAAACCAGGGTCAAAAAGACCAGACACAACGAGCAGAGGAGAAGACCAAACCAGCCGTGTACTAGACTGGTCCGACTTGTTGGAAGAGGTGGATCCGCAGAAAACGTCCCGGGTTCGCACACCGAGCAAGCAGCGCCTGGAACCAAAGCTGCTTTGTCGGATATTTGACAGCCACTAATCAGCCACTAATGGGACATGAGGACTACTTTCTCTCTTAGTAGGACGTAGGACTCCAACCGATTCAGAACCCGAAGCAACAGCTGGACCTGGGGAAAGAGGTACAGGTAACCCCACCTCGACCAGTCCTGCCAAAAGGCATCCACCGCATCTGGCATCCAAGAAATGAAATGAAACAGGGAAGGAATGGATTTATGACAAGACAAGCATCAAAGCCTCAAAAGCCTTCTAAAAAAGTAGAGGAGGCTTTCCTCCTCCTGTGCCAGCAGCAATACTTGCCAGCCATTGCCGGTAGCAGCCTGTTATAAGACTGAAAGGCTGCTGCCTAAAATAGGCAAAGCTGTACAAAAATAAAGCTCCAGCAACAACAGACTTTACACACACACAGGTAAAAGAACCCCTGAATCTAATAGGCAGAGTTATAGACACAACTGTAGTGGCAATCACTGTCTAAACAAAAACAAAAACAAAAACAAAAACTCACTCACTCATTGGAAAATGACAAGCAGCAAAATTCAATTCTAGGGTGCACGAGGAATTCGTAGCAATCCAACCAACAGAGGACGGTAGTAAACAACCCTCCCATTCCCCCCTGGATGGAACATAAACTGGCTCTCCATGCCATTATAATTAACACTTTCGCTTTCCCGGCGAGTGGGCCGTCACGCACCCCAAGGTAGCCCGAGCGATGTTTATACTCTTTTTCAGCTTTCTTACCTCAATTTCCGTGCTACGTTGTTGAATTTGGTATCAAATTGTTCGCAATAGAACGCTCTAAAGGAATATTTACATATAAGAACAAGTATAAGAACAACATTACCAATACCATAAGATAAAGAACATAAAGGTAAAAAATGGCTGCCTCACGCCTGATCGTCTGGGTGTTGCAACAGTGTCACCTGTAGAACTGCTGTCATCCTCATCACCAGCATGTATGATGTTGTCATTTTTGAGAGGTTAATCCTTATACTCAAAGTGTACGAGTGACCAAATGACTACTTCATGGAATTGGAGGAATGTGAGTTCCTTGGTAATAGTTGTGTAGAACTTGTATAACACAAAAGCATTATGTATATCCATGTATAGCCACAGAGAATGGGAAGATGTTGGCGCGCATTTTAACACAATCGGTCACCGGATAGGTGCGCGGTAAACTTAGGGGTCATGCACCCGACGTGCGGGCGAGCGTGCAGGTAAGCGCGCGGTGACACCTAAATGTGTATACTTGTTTCAGCTTTCTCACCTTAATTCTCGTGCTACTTCGCTCGTTTTGGTATCATTGTGTTCGCAATTAAATTCCCTACAGATGTGTATGAATATAATGTACAAAAGTTTGGAGTACCTCCCCGCAGAAAAGCCTAAAGTTACCCATGAACGAGCACCAATTTGTACACTGCAACCTAATGTGTATACTCGTTCAGTTTGATAACATCAATTTTCATGTTACATCTTTCATTTTGATATCAAATTGTTCGCAATAAAAAGGCACGTATTTTAAAACTAGTCCCATAATAATAGAGCAATAACTGGAATTTTAACAAATATTTGAATTCTGGAAGTTCATCATCACAAAATTATTTATATCTTTCCAGTGTTCTGACATAAATTTTTGTGTTACACCTTTCATTTTGGTATCAAATTGTTCGCGACGTAAAGGCGCACATTTTAAAACTAGTCCCAACATAATAACACAATAAATAGAATTTTAACAAATATTTTAAAATTTTGACCAAAAACCTATTTATAATCATACATGTGTTCGGACATCAAGTTTCATGTTACATCTTTCATTTTGGTATCAAATTGTGTACATTCTAAAGGTGCTTATTTTGATACTATCCCGAGGTCGATTGGATAAAAAATGAATTTTATGCAAATATTATTGAAGTGGACGCAAGTCCTCGGTTAGGACTCAGGAGAAAAATATTGGACGCGAGTCCTGTCCAAAGTGACCGATAGTGTTAAAACAAACCGCATAGTAATCGGAGAATAAATGTAATTTTTTCTAATATTTTAATTTTGGACGGAACTGCCGTCCTCGGGAAAACAGTGTGAAATTATTTTAGGACGTCATTACTGTTATCCGGAAGCGATAGTGTTAATGGGCAGAAGCACGAGAAGCACAGAGGTTAGCCTAACACATAACCCAGTAAATGAGGGAAGGCATACAGTGCCACAGAATATACAAAAAGAATCCTTGATCACTACGTAAGTGCAAACCCAGAAAGACATAAGGCACCAACTCACAGTACACAAATTGGGGCCATGCATTTTACTGTGAAGTACACAAATAGTTAATTTATTTACCTTGAATCAAGCAGCGTGACACTCATGAGCAAGCCCTAAGCCCTAGCAAGTAACAACAGGAGAAACCCCAAAAAAGGAGGACACTGGAACCCCTCAAAGATAACTCAGGTGATCAAACAGGAAATGCAAACTAACACCAAGGAAAATAATCCTGAAACAATGTCACAGCAACTCATAGACAGGGAACACACTAGGCAGATTGCATCAATACAATTGTGAAGCATAAACAGGTGCAAAACACAATTTCCTGTGGGATAATAACATTCCAAGAAACACTACACCACTGGACTAGAAAGCAGACAAGGTCCCCACAGAGGCCAGCGAGTCTTAAGTGGCACCAGGCCCACAAGTGAAGGTTTGGGCCGGCTGGACCCCCCAGGTGACTTGAACTGCCACCTGGTGGCACACTGCATTGACACAACGATCATTCACAATCAGCAAACTGCTCGTTACCTGGAGCATCCCTGGAGAGGGTTTTGCGAGTTCTTCTACTTCCTGAGCCTGAACTCAGGCCAGGCGCAACTTGGTTCAACAGGCTGTTGCTTAGAGCTGCCTGCAGGCCCACATATCCACTACAGCCTAGTTGGTCTGGCACTTCTTGCAAGAACTTGTCTAAGTGCATCTTTAATACATCCACTTTTGTTCGTTGCTCTATTTCCTTTCATTTCTCTTTCAAATCAAGATTCATGCTTTGTCCTGTTTTGCCTTTAATTCTCAGTTTTGAGTCTTATCTGTGATGACCATGCTACCCCTTGCCTCTCTGAACACACCAGCGGCCAGATTCACGAAAGCACTTAGGAACGTGTACATCTTTCCTCAATCTTTGACGACTTTGGTTCCATTTATTAAACAGTTTACAAGCATGAAAACTTCCTATTCAACTGTTGTTATTGTTATAAACAGCCTCCTGGTGCTTCGGAGCTCATTAACTGTTTAATAAATGTAACCAAAGCCGCCAAAGATTGAGAAAAGATGTACAGGTTCGTAAGTGCTTGCATAACTGCTTCGTGAAACTAGACCCAGATTAAGTTCCTGGTGTTCAGTAGGCCTGCACAAATCCAGAGGCCTCAAAACACTAGTATTACAGCCAATTGTACCAGAAAATGCAAAGTATTGAAAGTTCAAAATAGGCCCGGAACCAATTAGTCCAGACTTCAACAATTACACTGTATAACAAATAAACAGAAATCCACATATGTTATATAACAAGAGAATTCTTAAACAGCATAAGCAACTCACAATAGGGGAACCACAAATTCCCTGGGGAACATTAGTTCCGGGCGACGTAGATGTGTCTTTAAGATAATCATTCATGGTGTGTATCAGATGGTCAGTCATGGCTGCGGTTCTCTGAAGATCTGTGCTCACTTCTGTTAGGTATGCAAGAGTGTTAGCCGCTTCCACTCGCTCCCACACCTCGCGGTCCCGTCGACACATTCGTACCTGCCGGTGTTTGCATTACTGTACAGTACTTATCCATATACATGTTATAATGATGATATACAGAATACACTGTACTTGTGTATATATATATATTACAGTAATATGACTTATTCTCTATAATTATTCATTGATTAGCAACATTCCATTTCACCTAACATCTTAGTTTTATTAATAAATAATTTAATTTTCCAATAATATTACGTATTTAAGTATAAGAAAGCTGATGCTAGAGATGATGGCTGAACCAGACGTCCGGGTAAAAATAAAATGGGTAAAACGTCCAGACGATTGTTGTAAAAAAAGTTAGCGTTGAATGTAATGAAACGCCAGTTTCTGGGTGAGCCCTGAAGGCTTCCTGACACCCTCCTTCCCTCAGGTCGGTGGCATATTTCCTCATTAAAGAACCGAGCGGTGTCGGCCTGGCTGACCTAGGCCAGCTACCTCCTCACCCCCAACGAGGGGGAAGGCAGAGCTAACTAGCAGGAAAGGGGGGGGGGGCTAGTTTCACAAAGATTTGGTTGTTTGTTTTATTATTGGGGAAGTTCTTTTGATATTTTGAAGGGCTATGGTCTCGTTTTTCAAACCATGCAGTGGTCTGTTGTAATTTACCCGTCTTTCTGGGTGCCTTTCCTTGGTGACGTCAAAGATGATAACCTTTAAATGTAAAGTGATCATAAGCCATCGCTCTCTGTGCCTCCCTGAGGGTCCAGGTACTGACTCGTGGTCCCCAGTAGGCAAAACAAACTCCGCGACTGATGACACTGATCAAGTACCATATAACCTAGTATGATAGCTTCAGGGAACCAACGAGGTTCCCCCTCAGGAAACAGATTTGAACACCTGGTAAAGCTAAGGCAGCCAATACAGACTCTGGAATGGGCATAGAACTCAAGTTCAAGTATGTTTATTGAGACAAGAAAGAAATACATCTCAAAGGGATAGAGTAGCTTAGGCTATTTCTACCCCCCTCATAGAACTCATTGCTACCCAACCAGCAGAGAGAGCTAGAGTTCCAGGAGAAAATCAAGGTCATGATTTTCAACTAACTAATTCTAACTATTTTGATATGAAAAAAATTCAGATCTTAAACTAGATGCAGGATTAAAAATGCAATCACATCACATGGAATAGAAACACCACATAAAGGATCTAGGAATAATGATATTAGACGAAGTAACGTTTAGTGAACATAACCAAGCAAACTTAAGATCTAGCCAGGAAAATGATAAGGTAGATTACAAGACCCATCAAAACAAGGGATGCTGCTCAGTACTCAAGGCTGATAAGGTAGATTACAAGACCCATCAAAACAAGGGATGCTGCTCAGTACTCAAGGCTGAATAAATATATATAACAAAGTATTTAGAGAACATATAAAGCACACATACACAAATATAAAATATCTTAAAAAAGGTGAAGAGTAGAAGTGGCAAGAGCACAATCAGAGAACACTGTATGAACATCAAAGCCTACAACTTTTAAATCTTCTTCCAGCAAATGTAATACTGCTTGAACAAAAGTTGAAAGTGAGAGAAAATTCGACAGGGCCCGGCAAGAAATACACGATCAGCTGTACAAGATCCGGTGCATTGAACGCAAAGTTGCCTTGTGCTAAATGAACTGCTTCAGTGATTATCTCTCACTCATGATTACGCATAGTACTGCATAATATAGTGTATGACAATGTAAACAGGATCTGTAAATTGAAAATTGAACAAGTAATATTGCGACAAACATTCTTACTGGACACATTATTGACACATGTACCACAGTTTCTTAGAACATTGTGAATGTTCTACTCTGTAAATATTGTCAAAAACATCCATATACTGTATACAAGATAACAAATAATAAGCCATAAAAAATCCACTGTAAACACAAAAATAAAGGACACAAATACTATACATTTGCAGGCGATGAGTCACAATAACGTGGCTAAAGTAAGTTGACCAGGTCACACACTAGGAGGTGAAGGGACGACGATGTTTTGGTCCGTCCTGGACCATTCTCAAGTCGCAATCGACTTGAGAATGGTCCAGGACGGACCGAAACGTCGTCGTCCCTTCACCTTCTAGTGTGTGGTCTGGTCAACTATACATTTGTGGCAAGTGCTGAATCACCCCACACAACCAGCTTCGGAATTCTCTGGTAGTTGGCCCGTGTTGGCACGGGCCAACACCCAGCCGTGACATCGTACTTCATTTTCTCCATTCCACTACAGCGTGAAGTAGAGACTTCACCAAGTGTTTCTTTTTACCATTTCTTATGTTTATGTGTTCAGGGAAGGCATTTTAACAACATAAGAAGAAAACAAATTGGGGAAATAATTTTGTTCTGCGCACAGAGGTCAGCATATTTAATAATAGCGGTGCAATACAGTGGTTAGACCAATAACAGATAAACTACAAGTATATCCACCAACATTCTTTGTTAAGCAATCTAAACTAATTGTTAACCATTAGATAGTGGTTATCATCATTTGTTGATTCGTAGGATAATGTGGTTATTATCATATGAGGATTTAAACAATTACTGTCTAGGTTTTACATGTATCATGCAAATATGAATATAACAGCTCTCTGTGGATGCAATGGAGTTTACCTTGACCCATGAAAAAAAATCCTACCATTTTTTTTTTTGGTTACATGTAATAATTTTTAATTATCAGGGGAGAGTGCCAAGCCATTACAACTTTATAGCACTTTAGTCAGGTTATGGTTAAGTATTTGGGATGAGACAGGCGGAAGGAAGGAATGGCACCCAACTACTTGGACGATCAAGGATTGAACGCCGACCTGCACGAAGTGAGACCGTCACTCTACTGTCCAGTCAAAGTGGTTGGGTGGTTACATGTAACAGAAGCAGCCTGCTGTCATGCGTGTAATTACCTAAGTGTAGTTACAGGATGAGAGCTATGCTCGTGTTGTTCCGTTTTCCCAGTACTCTGTCGTATAATGCTTTCAAACTACTTACGGTTTTGGCCTCCAGCACCTTCTCACTTAAGTTTGTTCCAACCAGCTACCACTGTTTGCAAAAAAAAATTTTCTAATATTTTTGGGGGCACCTGTGTTTTCTTAGCATGAATCTGTGTCCTCTTGTTCGTGAAATTGCTGGTTTCAGGAACCAGCAATTCCTCTTTGTCAATTTGGTCTATTCCTGTTAGTATTTTGTAAGTGGTGATCATATCACCTCTCTTTCTTCTATCTTCTAGTTTTGGGATGTTTAACGCCTCTAGTCTCTCCTCGTAACTCTTCTTTTTCAGTTCCGGAAGCCATTTTGTAGCATGCCGTTGCACCTTGTCCAGTTTATTTATGTGCTTCTTGAGATTTGGGCACCATACAACTGCTGCATATTCTAATTTTGGTCTCACAAAAGTCATGAACAGTTATTTAGTATTTCACCATTTATATAATTAAAAGCAAGTCTGAAGTTGGAAAACGATGCATATACTCCTTTCACAATGTTCTTTGTGTGTTCCTCTAGCGACAGCTTACTATTCAAAAACCACCCCTAGGTCTCATTCTTTATTAGAGTTCTGTAATTCCTTTCCACATAAATTGTAAGTTGTGTGTGGTCTATTTTCTCCAGTTCCACATTTCATAACATGGCAATTATTCACACTGAATTCCATTTGCCACTTCACGCTCCAAGCACTTATTTTATCTAGATCGATTTGAAGAGCACAACAATCGTTTGCGTGTCCTCTCTTTCCCAGTATCTTAGCATTATTCACAAACATTTTCATATAATTTTGTGTATTCCTTCTGGTAGATCGTCTATGCGGCCACTGGTGGCTTACGCCTTTCTTCTAATCAATGCTCTTGCCCGTATGTTGCCAATTAGGCCATTTGTAATCGCCCAGACCTCCAACGCCATTGTATATTATGTTCATATCCTTTTCACTACTCTCTATGGTTGTAATGGAGTATACCAGGTACATCGATCATCGATTGAAACATGTGTTATTGAAACAATTGTGTTATGTGAATTATGTGATTTATCAAGGTATTCAACACACACACACTCTTGTAAATGAAGAGAAACAAGTGATAAACAATCAGTGAAACATCGGATGGCAACAGCAGTCGGGCACCGGGTGTTGACAGGTGCCAGACACAGCCACCGCGGCGCACCCTTCCAGAGCGCCTCCACCCAGTCAAACTATAAACATTCACTTATTTTCGTGTTTTTCTTACATTATGCATACAAATTTATAATTCTAAAACGAAAAATTATATTTCGGAATTTGTTTACTTTCTTGCACATAGGCAGGTACGACCACTTTTCTATGACTGCGGTCTAGGGGTTAAAAACTCACCAAACACTGTAATGTCTTAAATATGATTTTAGGGTCATCTGCCGAGATTGCCCCTGCACGATGCAAGAACGTTAGTGACGTGGCTGCTGCAAGTTGCATATCCCGAGGCCGATCCCGAGCCATGAGCCCTACAAGTAGGTCTGGTACGGCCTTTCCTCCGTAACTTTTGGTAGCTATAACAGATGACACTCTTTCATTGCTGTTGAAGAAAACAACTGATTAGAAAAAGATTAAGCCACACCACATTTAAACAGAATGCATTAATCAGGATGATTTCAAACCTAAACATCTATTACCAGAGCATACCTATATAGATATTGCATTTACTGCATTTAGTATACCCATCCTAACTACATCAATATTTAAAAAAATTGAATAAACACATAATTTATGGTGAAAAATGCAGCTAGTAAACAGTGATGAGGCCAGTGTGCTGGGTTTGGGCAGCACAGATAATGTTACCTCCTTCCCTCCCTTCTCCACCATGGGTCATAACACTCAACTCTTAACACATAATGTACTACAATAACTAACTCAATCCTATCTACTGTAGTTCATAATAAAAGCAATGAAGTATAGTAAGTTTGTAATTCCAAAACAGTAAGTCATTTGAAAACCTAGAAAAGTGAGGACAAAAATAAACGAGTCAGTAGAGGTGGAGGCAGCTCCATAAATCCAGCGTTGATATGTAGCTGCTCTCTTTGGTGGGTCCCCAAGATACCAGACTGGGTTAGTCGGGAAGTCATCAATGGGAGCTCTCTCAGAAAAAAAATCAGACTAGTATTTGCTTGATAAACACAAGGTAGCGAAAGAGAGAGAACACAGGCTAAATGGAAACCTGGTAATATCCTCTCCATCACAGGCAGCCCCTTGTCCAGTGCAGTATTCTTGAATGAAGACTTGGTATTAAGAAGAGAATCACTTTTAAATCAAGTTACGAAATCACATTAAAAAAAGTTTAGAACAGTCGTGAAGAGCCCAAAGCTAGTGATTTCTAGGGGCCCGACAAATACAAAATAAAATTTCCCAACATTCAAAACGGTTAACATGTTCAACTTGGCACCAGAAATCTCACATATATGGTATGTGGGTAATGAACACAGACAAGTAGATATGAATCTTACTTATAGCACATAGCAGCCAAACAGTGTAACGCAGGAAGCTGAACTCTGGAGACGGGGGAACACAGCATGCAAGCCACAAGGTCCGCTCCGCCTGCATCCACCAACTGCTGCTGCTGCTCACAGGTCTGTAAGTAAACAAAATAGGGGCATATTTTTAAAGCATCTAATGTATAGGAATATATGTAGTCAATACTCCTATTAGTCAAAGCATACGTATTACAACAGTACCGTACTGTACAAAATCGAGACTACCACACATCAATATACATATTATATGACGAAAGATTCCCCAGTTCCTAATATCCTGTCGTAGATCAACTGGTCAGAATTTAGAACTAAATTTCTCCTTCATGGATTACAGGAGTTAGGTTCCCAAACCACCATAAAATGGGTTGGGGGAATCAAACAAATTAAATACTGTAGATGTAATGTTGAACTAACACCAATTTAATTGATCATGAATGCTGAAGCTGCTTTACTGAGTGGAACTGAAGTTTAGAGGAGGACAAGATAGAAATATCATTTTCTGCAGATTTTTTATATGCTGTAATTTTCAATCTTTTCACTGGTTGCAGGTGCTGGTGGCAGTAGAGGATTTCAGTATGAGACATGTGACTTCGTTAAAGATGCATCTTGAGACATTTGTGGCACACAGAGAGCTAAGGCCTGCATCAATCAAACTCAAAGGCCTTTGTCCTTTGATTAAAATAATTCATTGTCAATTGCTTTAATCACTTTAATTTCCAGTGTTATAGTTTGTCTCCTCCTTGGCCCAGGTGAACCACCACCACCAACACACTTCCTCCTCCTCCTCCTGTTAGCAATGATTAATCTTCATGCGGGTCTCTAATGCTAGGCTACAGGTTATATAAGCTACCAGGTCTTTCCCTTATGCAGTTTCAGGGAGCCGTAAGGATTTAACCCTTAAAGGATTACAGCAGGTCTCTTGAGACTTGAAATGGCAGAGACCATGAGCCGGAACCAGAATTTGGCTCTCTCTACAAGGCTAGGGAAACCTGGGTACCAAAGTTCTTCTAAAAATTAAGAAAACCTTACTGGAAAAGTTAGTAAAAAAAAATTAGTTCTTGAAAGAAACTCAAAAGAGAGAAATAGGACAAATGACCAATAGTGTGGGTGAGTACCCTAACCTTGATTCGCCTGTCACCAGACGGCAGCCCAGGTCACCTGAGGTTTCGGACAATAGCTCATCTCACTAGAAAGCCCCAAATGCCCCACGGAAAAAATGAAACAGGGCAGAAACATGGGGTTACAAAGGGTCCCCAAAAAAGAACATTTCGTTATATTTAATGGGAGGGTCACCTATGTAGCTCCCTGAATTTTAGTCATAACAATACTTCAACAGAAAAGGACGGCTATCTTGTATAAGTTCCGAGGATCAATGGCCCCATGGCCTGGTCTCTGAACAGGCCTCGCAATTGGTCATCTGGTCAACGAGGCTGTTGGACATGGCTGCTTGCAACCTGACTTATGAATCACAGCCTGATTGATCTGGTATTCTTTGGAGGTGTTTGTCGAGTTCTCTCTTGAACACTGTGAGAGGCCGGCCAGTTATGCTCCTTACGTGTAATGGAAGTGTGTTGAAAAGTCTTGGGCCCTTGATGTTGATAGAGTTCTCCTTCAGCGTACTTATTACATCTCTGCTTTTCATCATGGGTATTTTGCACATCAATGTCTCCATATACCTGTACTGCCTGTACTTCACCTTCGCATCTCTCCGCAATATCTGAGCATGCAGTAGTGAAGTGCTGTCTATCCTCTCCAGAGGAAATATTTTTCAACAAATTCGCTATTTTCAAAAAGAGGTTATTATCTTCATCACAAATCCAGTATAACGAGGTACAGAGCACCACTTGGTTCCCGAACTTTAGTTATCTGAAACTTCCAGTTTCCCGATTGGTGTTGGGGAGTCACGCTACACGGACTAAGTTCGGGTAGGAAGTAGTCCGCCACGCTTCACGCCGGCTGGGGTTGGGGTTACCCTACACGAACCAAGTTCGGATGAGAAAGCGGTCAGCCAAGCGTCATGCCGGCCCGTGGTGGTGGGTGGGTGGGAGATGGTTTAGTTTGCTCACTGACCGTGTCAGGCGCCGCCTGCTACCCTGTGACGTCACAGACTCACGGCCTATTGTTCCCATTGTTTGAATTTGTTACGAGACTGGAGTGTTCATTCCGTGACTTTGTTTTACATATCAGCACAATCAAGGAACATCCGTGCACCATGTCGACTCCAAATGCACGCATTGTGTCAGTGAAAGTAAGCAATTATCAAAAGAAGGCACCAAACCGGGAAGTCCATGTAGCACCATCAAATGTGCAGAATAATCAGAGGGCGCTAAATATCACCAAGGATGCCAATACGAGAACAAAAAAGCATAAGGCGAACGATATCAAAAGTATCCGAGTCACCAAGAATTCTATTGAGGGACAGGTGACCGTGAGGGACGGTCGGAAAGCAAGACACACGCTCGTCCCGGAAGTCAGGACATGCACGACCGTAAGAGGGACAATGCAATTAGGACAATAAGGAGCAGGGCGGCGCTCCATCAAGTGACCATGGGTTAAGCGAGTATCGCCAATACGCAACCTCGCCAGAGCAGTTTCCTATCGCCGGTTACGTTGGTAGGAGGACGGCCACGAGGAAACACAACATTTAAGAGTACGGAGTTTGTTACCAGTAACAGACGACCAAGAAGCCTGCAAACGGGTATGGATGGAGGAATGGATAACCGGGTAAAAGTCGGAATATGGAATACCTTTACGAGAGATGGGACAAGAGCGGACAGCTTCCTTGGCAGCAGCATCCGCACGCTCATTTAAAGACACACCAATATTGTGTCAGTGAAAGCATCTACAAGCGGGTTACGTAAAAGAAAGAGGTCAGTGATGACATTTGAGAAGAAAGTTGAAATAATTAAGAAGGTGGAGAGCGTTGTCCCGAGAAGTGTCATGTGCGCTGAATATGGCATTAGTAAAAGTACTGTTTTTGATCTTCTTAAGGCTAAACCTATCATTTTTTACTATTTCTCTAGAAGTGAAAGTGATAAAGAAATACGAAATAGAGAAGTAGTAAGTAAAGCAAAGGTGGAGAGTGTTGATAACGCAGTGTGGGAGTGGTACAAACAGAGACGTGAAGTGACAAAGAAGCCAGTGGCAGGCTGGCTGCTCGTAGAAAAGGCACGTGAATTTCACCAAGCAATGAAAATTACTCAAAAGTGTGTATACAGTGATGGATGGCTGAGAAGTTTTAAAACCCGTCGTGGCATTAGGTTCATTAAAGTGCATGGTGAAAGACAATCTGCTGATATTGTTGGTGCTGATAAGTATGTAAGTAAATTTGCAGAGATGGTGCAGGAACAAAATTTATCTCCAGAGCAAATTTATAATGCTGATGAGACAGGTTTGTACTGGCGTATGCTTCCCACAGAAACGATGGCTCATAGTGGTGAGGACGATCCTTCAGGTGGTTACAAACAGAACAAACAGAGAATTTCTTTGTTGTGCTGTGCAAATGCAGCTGGCACGCACAAATTAAAATTACTTGTGATTGGAATTAGTAAAAACCCCAGGGCTTTAAAGTCAGCCAGGTACCTCCCTGTGATTTATAAGAACCAGCCAAGTGCGTGGATGTCTCGAGTAATATTTGTCGAGTGGTTTAATAAGAACTTTGTACCCGAGGTGAAGGAGCACCTGAAAAGTGTTGGTCTCCCGCAACAGCAAAGTTGTGCTGCTGTTAGATAACAGTTCAATGCATCCACGAGGTGATGAGCTAGTAAATGGCAATATTATTGGAACATTCTTGCCACCCAATACAACTTCAGTGATCCAACCCATGGATCAAGGAATAATTAAGAACCTTAAACACCACTACAAGAGGATGTTTGCCAGACGTCTTAATAATCAGCTTGGAATACTTAGGGACTTTTATAGTCTTCACAATAAAGTCAGCTATCTGGACTATTACTAGTGCGTGGGATGAGGTAAAGCAGACAACACTAAGAAATGGTTGGAAAAAACTTTGGCCCGCGTCAAGTCTGTTTCCTGAGGAAGATGACGAGGCAGATTTCGAAGGATTTGCGGTGAAGAAAGTTAGCGAGAAGAAAAAATTAAGAGAGGAACTCCTAGCCTATGTCAAGGGGATTAAGTCCCCTGAGCTTAGAGCAGAACTGGTGACTGAAACAATAGAAGATGACATAGATAGATGGATAGATTTTGATGAAGCAGCCCCAAACAATCGAAACATGACTAATGATGAAATTATAGAATTAGTATGTACAGCAAAAAAGCCAGACGAGTGCAATGAAGAAGATGGAGAGGAAGAGGATGAAGAAGCGTTAAAGGAAAAATGTAAAATGGAAAAAGTTCAGCAAAATTTTGAAGACATTCTGGCATTTATGGACACGAGTTACAGCAAGTTTGAAACTAAGGACATGATGACTCTGTACAATTTGTATATGAAGTTTTAAAAACAAGAGCCAAGGGAATGAAACAAATGTCATTTACAGAGTCTTTTGCAATGGCTTCCAAGAAAGCTCGCATTGCATCACCTGCACCTGACTCATCGCATGTTGACCCAGTCAACCCAACAACTTCCTTCAACCCAACACCATCAACATCAACCACCACCTCTTCCATGTAAATAACTATGCTTCATCAACGTCGATCATCAACATAAGCGGATCAGGACTTCAATTATTGGTGAATACAAACAAAATACGGTCGCATTTACGCTATGAACCTGTCGATTTTTTCCCTTAGATTTTTTCACAAATTTTTAAATATTTTTTTCCTCCGTTTCTCGTATAGGAACTTACATGTTAACCGACGGGTCTCGTCCCCAAGGGGTTCGGAAACCAAGTGGTGCTCTGTACTGTATTAGCTATTCCTTTTTTTTGGCACATTTTGTGTGCAACATCATTACACAATTGACAATTGATATAGTTTGGATACTTGGATACTTAAGTAAACATCAAAGTAACTGGGTAGGAGTAACCGGGTAAAAGCTTGCAGTAACCGGGTAAAAGCTTGCAGTAACCGGGTAAAAGCTTGCAGTAACCGGGTAAAAGCCAGCAGTAACCGGGTAAAAGCCTGCAGTAACCGGGTAAAAGCCTGCAGTAACCGGGTAAAAGCTTGCAGTAACCGGGTAGAAGCTTGCAGTAACCGGGTAAAAGCCTGCAGTAACCGGGTAAAAGCCAGCAGTAACCGGGTAAAAGCCAGCAGTAACCGGGTAAAAGCCTGCAGTAACCGGGTAAAAGCCTGCAGTAACCGGGTAAAAGCCTGCAGTAACCGGGTAAAAGCTTGCAGTAGTAACTGGGGTAAAAGCCTGCAGTAACCGGGCAAAAGCCTGCAGTAACCGGGTAAAAGCCTGCAGTAACCGGGCAAAAGCCTGCAGTAATAAGATAAACAGTAGGAGTAACCAGGTTAATGATGGGAGTTACTCAAATTGTGTTGGGTTGGTTATGAGCACAACTAATGGCCAATATGTTCATTTTTGGGCATTCCTGGTAAGAAATTCGGCTAACTCGCAGGAGGGAAATAGGGTGCCATATGATATTCAGATTACCGAGCGTAGACAGTACTGTATGTATACTGTACCTGGAAATAAAGTCAATGTAAATCACGAATATAAATGTATACGTACTTATCAAAATAAATATATCGGCAAGGAAAGTCAATATTTCAACCAATGATCAAACTTAACGTAATCATGCATCGTACAAAAGCGTCAAGTACACAAACCCTGGATACCTTGCAGGCATGAGCAAGGATGTTGGCAACGCACTCCTGGTTGCTGGGGGGGTGATACCCGTGTTGTATGAGGGTGGTGAGAAGCTTATGATCCCACGATGGCGGCGGCGGTGCACAGCCCTGCCGGTACACCGACCTCAGACAGCACAGGATCATCTGAGTGTACGCACTCGTCCCACTTCCTCCAACACATGCTTCAAGCTCTGTGTAAACACAATAGTTTAGAAAATGGGGGGGACCTTTGACAAGCCACTGGCTTTCTGTCCTCATCGAGGCCACAAGTGTTAGTGGCTCTCAGATAAATTATTTAGACAATTTCTAAAGTTCAAGGACACACTGCGTTAATAATTAAGAGATTTTCTCGGGTCAAGACGGATCTTTTAGAGAAATGCGGATGGACTAGTTTGAACATTATTACCCTTGCTAATTGGGACCAAACCACTGACAGATTATTGGACAGGTTATATACTCAACACCAAAGTTACACAGCATACCAAGACAGTATAAGACTTGGTTCTGACCACACATGTTCATGGCCAAGATGTATAATTAATTTGATGTATATTTGAGACCCAGAGGAGTAAAATAGAATAAATAAACTTCACAGAATAAACTTTAATCTGTGAAAGTACATCTAAAACATAGCTAATGTAGCAAATGTTCTGGGACAATATCTTCCAAATACATCAATCAGTGTGAATAACTGCATTGTCTTTTCCTTCCCAAATGCAGATGACTAAGCAAAAAAACCAGCGTTGAATGTAATGAAAAGCCATTTTCTGGGCGAGACCCGGAGGCTCCCCAGAGCTAATCGGACTAATATGAATGTATTAAACCCTGGCATCAGTCAATGCACATAAAGATCTAGGCCTGCTGGAGACCACGAGCCAGAACCTGGCCCCCTTAGAGAGGCACGAGGAGCAGTGGCTTATAGAAACTCCCTTGTGGTTGGAAGCATTCTATGTCTGCCATCGACCGGGTCAGGCACCCTGAGAGATAAGTGCCCCAAAACTAACACCTATTCGGTTAAAAAATTGCTACTGAAAGCCAAACTAGTAGACAGAACTCCCCAAATTAAAACGAGCAAATGAGCATGACGTCACCGCGCTGCTGCCTGCTCAAATCCACCCCCCTTTCCCAGGAGGGGGAAGGGGAAGCCCCAGACCCCTGCGCCGGCTATCCACCTTGAGGCTGGATGTCAAAAACTGCAAAAAAACTCTGACCGGAGGGAGGGAGGGATGCAGGGAAGCCTACGGGTCTCATCCAGAAACTGGCATTTCCTTACATTCAACGATGGTTTTCTGGGGGGAGCCCCTTCGGCTCCCCGGAGCTACTTACCCAAAGACAAAACAAGAAGGATTTACCCCGGGAGGCGGTCGGCCCTTGCTCCTCAACGCAAAGTCAATACAACTGGCTACAACCGCCGACCCAATGCGACACGCCGACCTCCATGAACATCAAACCGATGCCAGAATGTCAGCCCAAGACATGTTACCGAAGACAGCAGCCAAAGCACCAAACTTAAAATGTCGTGGACACAAGGATAGACCGCAGGCTGCCTGGACCGAATAACCCTGTGGACGACCTGGAAGATCCGAACCCTGGAATAGGGAAGAAGGGAAACCAGGTCAACCCAAAGTGCGTCCCCAGCCACCGAAGCCGTGGCGCATAGGTAGCAGTGAAGAGTTGCAACTGGACACAACACATGATGCACCCCGGCCTAACCAATCAGGCATCAACAACCCAAGGACCCCTCCAGAAAGCAGCAGTCTCATTGTTCGCCAGAAAAGGAGACGACGACTGCAAACGAACAAAACGACCACCAGGACCAAAAGAGCAGAAACCTCTGCCCCAGAGGACCGCGTGAAGCTCCCCAACCCGAACCCCCAGAGGCCAATGCCAACAAGAAAATGAGCCTTAGAAAAACAGTCCTGAACCGAAGGGGCCACCACAAACTGAGGAGAAGAGAGAAAAGAGAGCACCCGGTCTAATGACCAGGATGGCTTCGGCCTGTGCATGAGCAGGCCGGAGGTGAAAAATGCCCAAGAAAGATTGCGGAATGGAGCAGAAGTTATATCCACCCCAAATGCAAGCTGAAGCGGCTCTGCCAGCACCGCACGATACGAGATGACAGTACTCGGCATAAGATGACGGGCCTGAAAAAAACAAGAAAGGACAAAACCCGATCAGAAATCGAAGACAACCTACAAAGAGACAAAGTGCCAAAAAGACTGCCAGGAAACTTCATACTGCTGCCAAGACGAAACCCGCAGGTGGGACATCATCAACGAAGCCACCTGATCACCATACAAGTGGTGATAAACCTGCATCAAAAAGACCAGACACGAAAATCGGAGAAGATCGAACCAGCCATGTACTGGACTGGACCAATCTGCTGAAAGAGGCGGAGCCGTGGGAAGACCCTCGGGTTCGGACACCGAGCAAGCAGCGCCTGAAATCAAGGCTGGGCCGGCCACCAAGGGGCCAACAGGACTACTCTAACCTGGTAAGTGTCCAAGCGAGTCAGGACCCGGAGCAACAACCGAACCGGGAAAAAGAGGTACAGATAAGCCCACCTCAACCAGTCCTGCCGAAAGGCATCAACCCCGACGGCTTCACAGTCTTTGAAGGGCGCTACAAAGTTGCGCTAAGGGCGCCCGGAAGATGCCTCAACCAGGCTGACGCGAAGAGGTCAACTTCCTGATGCTTGAATGTCCAGCAGAGTCAAAGAAACGAGTCGGCGTCGACCGTCTATTCTGTGGACAGGAGAATGACCCGGGACTTGACTGCTGCCTGCTCAAACCCGGGACATCTTGCTGGACCACTATGATATGGCATTAGATGCTATGGAAGACAAACATAACGCGGATGTAATTTACACAGATTTCGCAAAAGCTTTTGATAAATGTGACCATGGTGTTATTGCACATAAAATGCATTTAAAATTAATTACTGGAAAAATAGGCAGATGGATCTACAATTTCCTGACCAACAGAACCCAATGTGTAATAGTCAACAAAAAAAAAATCCAGCCCATCAACCGTGAAGAGCTCAGTCCCCCAGGGTACTGTGCTTGCTCCAGTACTTTTTCTCATCCTCATTTCGGACATAGACAAGAACACAACCTATAGCACTGTATCATCCTTTGCAGATGACACTAGGATCTTCATGAGAGTAGGCAACATAGAGGACACGGCGAACCTCCAGTCAGATGTAGATCAGGTCTTTCTATGGGCTACAGAAAATAATATGGTGTTTAACGAAGATAAGTTCCAGCTCATGCGCTATGGAAAAAATGAAAATATAAAAACGGAAACCACGTACAAAACTCAGGCAAATCATAACATAGAACGAAAAGGCAATGTAAAGGATCTGGGTGTACTCATGTCGGAAGACCTTACCTTTAAAGAACACAATAAAGTAGCCGTCACAACTGCAAGAAAAATGACAGGTTGGATAACAAGAACTTTTCACACTAGAGATGCTATACCGATGATGATACTTTTCAAAACGCTTGTGCTCTCTAGAGTGGAGTACTGCTGCACAATGACAGCACCTTTCAAAGCTGGAGAAATTACTGACCTGGAGAGCGTGCAGAGATCCTTTACTGCTAGAATCCACTCAGTAAAACATCTAAACTATTGGGACCGACTAAAGAGCCTAAAACTGTACTCCCTTGAGCGCAGGCGGGAGAGGTACATAATAATTTACACGTGGAAAATATTAGAGGGGCTGGTCCCAAACCTGCACACAGAAATAACATCACATGAGACCAGAAGACATGGCAGGATGTGCAGAATACCCCCGTTGAAAAACAGAGGTGCAACTGGTACTCTGAGAGAGAACTATCAACATCAGAGGTCCGAGACTGTTCAACACGCTTCCACTACACATAAGGGGCATAACTGGCCGACCCCTCACAGTGTTCAAGAGAGAACTGGATAAGCACCTCCAAGGGATACCTGATCAACCAGGCCGTGACTCGTACGTCAGGCTGCGAGCAGCCGTGTCCAACAGCCTGGTTGATCAGTCCGGCAACCAGGAGGCCTGGTCGACGACCGGTCCGCGGGGACGCTAAGCCCCGGAAGCACCTCAAGGTAACCTCAAGGTAAGGGGACAAGCCGTCCGCCAGGACATTGGACACTCCCTGGATATGAACTGCCAGGAGAGCCAAACCACGAGAACTCGGCAGACAAATTACCCAGAGCGACTAGCCCCAAAGAGCCAAGGACCGCATCGAACCCCAGCGGGTCAGACAATGTACCACTGGGGAGAAATCCGAATGGAGCTTGATTGTCGGTCCACGAGCGATGCGAACCCTCTGAAGCGAAAGCCACACCGCCGCTAACTCCCGCATCATGCTGTGAGCCTGACGGAAGGATGGACTCTATTGACCCTGGTAGGCCTGGTTACCACTGGTCACAAAACTCCAGCCAAGAGACGAAATTGAAATTGAAATTGAAATAAGTTTATTGAGGTAAAATACACACAAAGGGATGAGGTAGCTCAAGCTATTCTCACCCCATTCAGTACAACGTGTTAATATATACATAGACACACATCACAAATAAACATATTACCAAACATTCTGAGAGGTAAAAATATACATTTCCTCCTTCACAAGTAGTATGGTATCAGACGTACACACAAATACTTTTATGACCTAGGTATACTGTATAGACAATTTGCAAGACACCTGCAGATAATTCAACAAAATATTACGATCTTGGTGCAAAATTCTTATATCTCTCAAGAATATCATCAACCTTTCCGTTGTGACACATCCATGCTATTTGTTCAGGAACAGTCCTTATCTCAGTGTTTCTATATACATTAATCAACGGACAATCAAGAATATAATGGGCAAGGGTGTGAGACCTTAACATACCACATAGTTTACACTTCGTGTCATTACCATGAACATCTATCCCATATTCCCAGTAATATTTGTACCCAAGCCTGAGCCGCATGTACACAGAGTCACTCCAAGCATTTCTCCTTTTACCATAAGTGAAATGGGTGTTTTGACTCACATACATGTAGTGTTGCATGGTTTGACTTCTCTCATACATTATCTCTCTCCTCTCCACTCCCGCCTGTGCCTGAATATTTCTGATTTTGCTTCTTATTTGTCTCATTGTGAATTCACATTCAATGTCAACTTGTGGTTTTGATGTGGCACGTTTGGCCAAGTCATCCGCCACCTCGTTGAGCACTATTCCAACATGAGACGGAATCCACATGAATTTCACACTATAACCTTTCAGCTGTATCTCAGTTATTCTTCTCTTACAGTCCTCCACTATAGACATGAAGACTGGGTTTCGACTGTTTAAGGACTCCAGTGCTCCTCGGCTATCGACAAATACAAAAACATTTTTGTCGTCATGACGTACTTCCTCCAAATACGCCAGAATGGCCTGCAGTTCAGCTTGTGTGGATGATATATAATTACTAAGCCGGAGTTCAATTATCCTGTCCACAGTCCCAAACTCCGTATAATCCCTTATTAGGACACCACACCCTGCCCTGCCATCTTCCGCCACCGACCCGTCGCAATATACATGTAAACTGTTGCCTCTTGGTAACCGAGATATCATGCTTCCATACAAACACCGTAATTGTCCCGGTTCATGATGAATCTTTTTCACCTTGAGGGGTACAATTTCGACGTCTATTTTCTGTACTTTCCAGGGAGCAGACATATTACACTGTCGAGAGGGTTTACAGCAGTCAAGTACGTCGTATTCCCTGAGGTCATGAGCTAATCCCCTCGTGTAGCGTGTCTCCCTCAGTTTCCTGGAAGTGTGTACGTCACTAAAGCAGGTCTGAACGCTCTCAAACAGCTTATCCCCTCCTTTTCTCCGCATGAAACGAATAGATACTCTAGTGTTAATGTCACGGATTCTATCACACACACTCTGTAAATTTAATTCCATTCTCATTATTTCAATCATTGCATTTCTTTGACATCCAAGAATAATCCTCATAGCCTCGTTCTGTATCAGCTCTATTTTTTGAATTCTGCCTTGGCCTGTGTAAGACAATACGGGTGCTGCGTAGTCTATCAGGGATCGAACAGTGCTTATGTATAACATCCGCAAGATAGGTACCCCAACACCTTTACCAGAAAAAGCCAGTGCTTTTAGAGGATGCAGACGGGCTTTACATAAGGTGCTGATATGATTTATTTCAGCATTTTTACTCTCACATGTGTATCCAACATACATGCCCAGATACTTGTACTTCTGTACACGGCTCAGTTCCACACCATTTAGAGTAAGTGTTATATTTCTTCGTTTCCTATACTCGTATTTGGTTTTATCTGCATTTATAACTAAGCCTAACTTGTGACAGATTGTACCAAGTATGTTAAGAGCATCTTGAATTTTGTTCCCAGAAGTGCCTTGTATAAGAATGTCATCAGCATATATGATCGTCGTGACCCCTGGAGGATACATCTCTGATGCTAATCTGTTCATTAATACATTGAATAAGGTGGGACTTAATACTCCCCCTTGTGGGGTACCTAACTGAAACCTCCGTTCCTCAGACATGTATCCCTGGTAATACACCTGACCTTTTCTGCCTTGTAGATAATCCCTTATCCAGTGTAGCAATCTCCCTGTTATTCCCAGATTGGCTAATTCGTATAAGATTACTTCCCCATTGGCTTTATCAAACGCTCCTTGTAGATCAACAAAAACTCTACAATTGTCATCCACATTAGACAAGCACTTTAAGAGACAATCCGCAGTACTTTTGCCTTTGATAAAACCAAAGAGATTACTGGACATGTTATCACCTACAAGGTAGAGTAGCCTATTTAACAAAATCCTTTCCATCATTTTACAAAAGCAGGATATTAAGGAGACAGGTCTGTAGCCTCCGTTTGACTTAGGGATAGGAATGATGACAGCCTCTTTCCATTTTCTTGGTAACTTTCCCTCTCTATAACTCATATTAACAAATCAAGTAAGGGATTAGGTTTCATACCAGCTAAATAATTAAGTATGTCATACGTTACTCCATCTTTTCCCGGAGCAGTGGAACTGCCACTTTTTATAGCATCCAGTAGCTCATCGTGGGTTATCTCAGTGCATGTTATAGATCTTGTATTTAAGGCACATAAAGTTACTCCATTTCTAATATTTTCCCATGACTCAATGGTGACTCTCGTGTCTGCAGGTAAGGACTCCATACCAGCAGCACTTGCCCATTTATTTTATTTAGCCAAGAGACGACGTGTCCATGAACACATCAAGCAAGGGCTCGGGTAGGTGCCACAGCCCTGAACCCCGAAAAACCCAAAGAGGAAGCCGGCAATGAAGCAGCCGACGCAAGGCCCCCAGGATCCAAACCCAGTGAGCACGAGAGCGGCAAAAGGGACTTCCAAAGTCCCTTCTGCTGCTTTTGTCCCTTCTGCTGCCTTCCGCTGCTCTTGTGATCGCTGGGTTCGGACCTCCCCGAAGGAGCCAGAACAGCAGCCGAAGCCAGATCCGACCTGACGGGTAGACCAGCATGGCGAAGTTCAGACTGCCGCACAGCTGCTCGAACAACCAATGAGTGACCTGACCCAGATGCCCCCTAAAAACAGCCAAAAGCGGGACCGCAGCCACAGCAACGCCACGGGAAGGAAAGACAAGGAAGCGGTCTGAGAGTCCCACACAAGACCCAGCCAAGTCCGAACCTGAGGGAGAACCAAATGGGACTTCCTCCTGTTCACAAGAACTTGAACCCAGCGAGCTGGGAAAGAACCAAATCCCTAGCGAGCAGACATGTGGACCGGATGGGAGCCTACACCAGCCAGTCGTCGAGGTAAGCCAGAAACCAAACCCCCTAACAGACGCAAACAGGTCACCACGACTCGGGTAACGTTCATAAAAATGCGAGGCACCAGATTAAAGCCAAATGGAAAGCAACAAAAGCAGTAAGCTTGCTGCCCCACAACAAAACCGAGCCAGTCCCTGAACCCCGGAAGAATTGGGACATGCCAATATGCGTCCCTGGAAGTCCAGGGACACCATCTAAACACCCGGCTCCAAAAGCAGCTGGACCTGGGACAGGACAATTCTCTCTCTCCTGAGCAAATTTATGAAGCTGATAAAACAAGCTGTACTGGCATATGTTTACCTAATCAAACTCAAACTAACATAACCTAATAAAACCCAACTAAATCTAATCAAACCTAACCAAAGCAAACCTAACCAAAGCAAGCCTAACCAAAGCAAACCTAACCAAAGTTAACCTAACCAAATCATACCAAAGCTAACCTAACCAAACTAAACCCAACCCAACCTAATCCAACCCCATCAAACCAAATCAAACCTAACCTAACTAAACCCAACCAAACAAAACAAAACCCTCAATCGAGGCATCAACATCTCAGCCTCAGTCCTCAGTTAACACCACCATACTCATCTATCACGGTATCACGAAGTTCCAAGGGGTTGTCATAGCCACGGGGTGGTAATGGGGGACGAGCTCCCATTGCCTATAAAAAGCTCCAGTACAGCGTGCGTCTCAAAAAGCCTCTGACAACCAAGTCCAACTCCTGGCCTGCACGGATGGCTTAGTCTTTAAGTCCGCCGGAACTGCTTTTACTGACAGGAGAAGGAGCAAGGGCGTGCCTCTGGCGCCTTAAAACCAGCTGCTCCGGGTAGATGGGACTCGTTAGTCTGGGAAGGCAACTCATCTAGGGAAAGGAAAACCCCGATTCTAAACCTCTGCTGCCTTGCGGCTATACCTCTCTTTTGGGAAAGGCTTCAGGAGTCAACCTCGAGGAAAAATCCGGAGTTGGAGCCCCTAAGACAGTTCGCTGTTGACTTCAACCTCGTTCTGGCAGCTCCTGCGACAGTGCTGGAACCATATGTATTAGCATTTGCCTTTCCTTTGGATAATTTCAGCAACGTGGAGAAGGAGGGGGACCTATTGCATGGGTAACAGCTTCTCCTCCCTATCGACTTACCCAGGCTTTGCACCCTGGAAAGCAACCAGAGCGCAACTCCATAGTCTCCCGAGACTGAAGGATGCCTACTAATACTACTCGTCTATACATCATTCCAAGATCATATGTGGAGACACATCTGGACACTTGGTGAGTACCCATATTTATTGCTGCTCTATTACCCAGTATCCTATGGTGTTTTATTTAAGTATCTAGTGAAACAATAATGTATCGTTACGGACTTTTATACATAAAATTATTATTTTTTGTGCCTGAGGAGGGGAAGGGGAGGGGATTCGACTACTTATCCACACAACTACATATCCAGCCCTATCCCTTCGTCCTTCACTCCCCCCCCACCCTCTAATGATTTTGTTGGTTTGTTTTTATCTACCATTTCACAGGCTTTTCAATTCCTATCACTTTGACAGAAATAAAATTAATTTATTTCTTCATTCCTATTACCATTTAGAAGTTTCGCTTCATACGTACTTCTTCCCATGTCACAGCTGGTTACGTGGAGCAGTAAACGATACAACAATGATTTAAGGTTCAAACTGCTCTGCTGTATTTGTAAACACACACTCAACTGCTCTATATGATAATTGACAACAAAGGATAATTATGTCATCAATTTACCATATTTTCAAGTGGACAGATCAAACATTTTCGGTCCATTAGCAACCAAATATATAATGTATAGTATTTATATGCACAAAATCATATATTTTACACTACAAACCCAAATATGTAATGTATTTGCATGCACAAAATCATATATTTTACCCTACAAAACCAAATATATAATGTACTTACATGCACAAAATCGTATATTTTAGCCTACAAAACCATTTGAAAATCCCTTTCAATAAATGTTCACTATATTGCAACATACTAGAAGACAAAAAAAAAAAAATCCCTAAAATATCCTTGTAAATTAAGTGCATCTTCTACACCAGAAAATGACATATTTCTCGCACTGCCGTCGAATGAAATACGAACAGAAATCCAATTCGTAGGCAATTAAGACAACTTACGTTCCCAGAGTGCTGGCAACAGTCCGGCCTGTACGAGGGACACTGCATGCTCTGGCAGACCCTTAGCGAGTGAATTCAGAACTGTTACAACCTCAGTCTTAAGCAAGTTGTCTAATTCCGGCGCTCGGATGATCTGTAGAAGTCTTACCACCACTCCTTGCTCAATAATGGACCCCTTCTCACGTACACTTCCGATCACAGCAAATTTGAGTTCACTGCAATGGAACCCAGGATAAAGATTATGATATTTCTCTAAACATAAATACATTTATACACACAGTGCTCTTGATAATAGGAATTATCAAATATGTATGTCTTTATTAACTCAATGTTGAAAAATATTTAAAATAAATAAAGTTATTATCTTACCTGACTGCTTGGAAGCATTTCTGGGAGTCATTGGAATACAACTGGTCAATGTAAGCTCTATTGTGTTCCACATCCTGCAATGTAAACAAACATTATTGATCTAGAAATTCCTACACAACTGTGATTTGAAGAATGTACAGAGCAGAACAAACAGAAACCACACACCCTCCATTAACTAAGCTAAAACATTATCTTCAGAACTTTAAGTTGCACCAAATAGATAGTGAAATCACCATGGGCCACTAAACCCACAACATAAATCACCATGGGCCACTAAACCCACAACATAAATCACCATGGGCCACTAAACCCACAACATAAATCACCATGGGCCACTAAACCCACAACATAAATCACCATGGGCCACTAAACCCACAACATAAATCACCATGGGCCACTAAACCCACAACATAAATCACCATGGGCCACTAAACCCACAACATAAATCACCATGGGCCACTAAACCCACAACATAAATCACCATGGGCCACTAAACCCACAACATAAATCACCATGGGCCACTAAACCCACAACATAAATCACCATGGGCCACTAAACCCACAACATAAATCACCATGGGCCACTAAACCCACAACATAAATCACCATGGGCCACTAAACCCATAACATAAATCACCATGGGCCACTAAACCCACATGTACCACAGGTTGGAGTGAGGGAGGGCTGTCTGGGTGTGGCTGCTCACACTCGCGATGTTCTGAAGGTGTTGATGGTGAATGTATATAGTGTGTGACAGTGTATAGTGTGTACATATGTTGTAAATATACATAAATGAACATGAAACATTGGTGTGAATAACTGTATGATGGGAGGGGCAATGTTGGAGGAGTGAGGGAGGGCTGGCTGGGTGTGGCTGCTCACACTCGCAGTGTTCTGAATGTGTTAATGGTGAATGTATATAGTGTGTGACAGTGTATAGTCTGTAAATAGATTGTATATATACATAAATTAGCATGATACATGGTAAATATGTGCAACTTATGTGTACACAAGTATCATGCACGTAACACAGTGTCCTCGGACAGTACGGATATTTTACTAATGTAGTGTACATGTTCATTATACATAGGATTAGCACGTAAAAACAAATAAAATGTATTTGGAACTGTCTGCAAAAAATGAACAAAAATATATTCGAGGCAACTCGTGCGCCCCGCCCCAGGCGCCCCACCAGCCCCGGGAGCTTATGTCACGGGCGCACGGGGAATGACGATGTCACGCGCCACCATATGGACCCCATAGCAGCCAAAGTAAGAACAATTTTGAAATTCCGTTGCTATACCCATATACAGGGAGGGGTTTTTGACACTTTCAGAACAAAAAATAATTTTTTCCCGAGAAATATTTCTTGCGCACTGAGGGGGTGTCATATTTATAGGCCGCGCAGTTAAAGGGTTAATCGAAGCATTAGTAACAAGACACCTGGTGTTGTTCTTCAGCTATATCTTGCTCTGGTTAGGCCCCATTTAGATTATGCAGTTCAGTTTTGGTCGCCGTACTATAGAATGGATATAAATTCACTTAAACGTGTCCAGTGTAGGATGACAAAGTTAATTCCCAAAATTAGAAATCTTTCATATGAAGAAAGATTAACAAAACTTATAATGCATTCACTGGAAAGGCGAAGAGTTGGGGGTAACATGATAGAGGTTTACAAGTGGATGAATGGACATAATAAAGGGGATATTAATAGGGTATTAAAAGTATCAACCCAAGACAAAACACGAAACAATGGATATAAATTGGATAAGTTTAGATTTAGGAAAGACTTGGATAAATACTGGTTCGGTAACAGGGTTGTAGATTTGTAGAACCAATTACCACGTAAAGTGGTGGAGGTGGGGTCCCTCGATTGTTTCAAGCGCGGGTTGGACATGTATACGAGTGGGATTGGGTGGTTATAAATAGGAGCTGCCACGTATGGGCCAATAGGTCTTCTGCAGTTACCTTTGTTCTTATGTTCTTAGTGTTGATGTGGTAGTTACCCACTTACCCACCCGGGCCGAGTTTTTAGTTTAATCATTTTAATGTAATGAAATGCCTCTTCCTGGTAGAGCCCCGGTGGCTCATTGAAGCCATCTTACCAAGATGGCTTCATGCTTAAAGGTCATATCAGTTGCAGAAGCTCTGATTGGCCTACCAGGGACCAGAGCCATGACCTGGCTCCCATATAGAGGCACTGGGAATGCAGACAATATCCCCACCCCAGTGGGAAAGTATGCAGTTGGTGAAGCTTTACAGAGAACTGGCAGGTTCACAAAAATCCAAGCCTCGGAAATCCCCAAAGAACTCCACAAATGATTCACATGGAATAAAGGATTCACCGATAAGATTGAAACTCGTTAGTTCCAATTGCCACCACTAGGTGAACAATCGAACACCATCATCAGTTCTGAGGCTGCTGAACAATGCATCAATGAACCAATCAACCTGGAAGGGAAGGAGGACAATCGGGGAGTCAACAGAATTCTGCCAGAAAGAGGCATTTCCTCACATTCAATGCTGGGTTTCTGGGAGATCCCCCATGGTGTCTCCCTGAAGCTAATTAACCACAGAGAATGAGAATGGGACTTACCAGGAATGAGAAGTGGCAGGCACTAACAAGTGAAACCAGACCAGGAGACACCACTCTCAGCAACAGAAAACCAACTGGGACCAGGAACATTAACTAAATACTGGACCACCAGAACTGTTAGAAAGCCAAAAAAAAAGACTGAGGACGAATATCGGCCCAGGACATGTTGGAGAATACCATGGCCAAAGCAGTGTATTTGCAAACATCAGGAGCACGAGGGTAGACTGTAGGCTGGCACGACTTAATGATACTGCAGACGACCTGAGAAACGCGAGGCTTGAAATAAGGGACCAAGTAAACAGTGACAACCAAAAGGAGTCCACCAAGGCAAACCCAATGACCCACAAGTAACAGTGAAGAGCTGCCACCAGACAACAAATAATGCCCCCCCCCCAACCCTTGGAGCACGCTGGACTTGTGATCCTGTGGTCCTGGGTTCGATCCCAGGCGCCGGCGAGAAACAATGGGCAGAGTTTCTTTCACCCTATGCCCCTGTTACCTAGCAGTAAAATAGGTACCTGGGTGTTAGTCAGCTGTCACGGGCTACTTCCTGGGGGTGGAGGCCTGGTCGAGGACCGGGCCGCGGGGACACTAAAGCCCCAAAATCATCTCAAGATAACCTCAAGATAACCCTATCCAACCAAGCATCAATCAATAAAGAAAAAACCAGCTGACTACTTTACTTCACCAGAAAAGAAGAAAACTGCTAAAAACCATCCCACAGAGCCCAAAAGGACAGAACCCCAGCCCCAGAACAGTCTGAAGCTCCCCAGTCCTACAGCCAGAGGCGCGAGCCAACCAAAACAGCCTTTAGAAAGACATCATGAGCCAAAGAGAACCCTGTAAATTAAGGTGAGGAGAGAAAGACTAAAACCCAGTCCAAGAGACCAGGATGGCTCAGGAGCATGACACCTCTAGTGCAATGGAGGTGTCAGTGTCATGGAGGTGTCAGTGCCGAATGCAAGCAATAGCCACTCTGCCAAAGCTAAACGATAAGATACAATAGTATCTTATGAGATGCAGAGCGAGAAACAACCAAGACAAAATGGACAAGCAACCTTAACCGAAACTGAAGAAAGATGACGAAAAGACAGAGTGTAGATGTGTGCGCGCCAGGCAATTTTATACTGCTGTCGCGAAAAAAATGCAGATGGGATTCCATCAACCCAGCGACCTGCTCACTATACAAATGGCAATAGACGTTTGAGCAGAGAAAAAGATGCACTGCCCAAGAATACCTAAAAGACAGGACTCCCCTATTACAGTACAAATCAGTACAATGCCCAGTAAAATGCATTGCACTGGACAATGACTGTATGAGCAATACTGCATGTGCGATACTGTAGTGTTGCTTCTCTCTGATGACTGCACGAGCAGTACTGTCATGTAGCTTGTCCCTGATGACTGCAGGAGCAGTACTGTCATGTAGCTTGTCCCTGATGACTGCACGAGCAGTACTGTCATGTAGCTTGTCCCTGATGACTGCACGAGCAGTACTGTCATGTAGCTTGTCCCTGATGACTGCATGAGCAGTACTGTAGTGTAATTACCTAAGTGTAATTACCTAAGTGTAGTTACAGGATGAGAGCTATGCTCGTGGTGTCCCGTCTTCCCAGCACGCTGCCATATATTGCTTTGAAATTACTGATGGTTTTGGCCTCCACCACCTTCTCACCTTACTTGCTCCAACCGTCTACCAATCTGTTTACAGAAGTGAATTTTCTTATGAACAAATCCACAAGGGCCATGACGAGGATTCAAACCTACGTCTGAGAGAATCCCAGACACTACCTTAATCGACTGAGCTACGACATGGTATAAGAATTGCAACAAGAATTCATTTGATACATCACGCTATTGTGATTTCTGTGTGTAATGAATTCCTTATATTTCTTCGGCAGCTTTGTTTCGTTAGTTTAAATCTATGACCTCTTGTTCTTGAAGTTCTGGATCTCAGGAATTCTTCCCTATCAATTTTATTGATTCCTGTTATTATTTTGTATGTAGTGATCATATCGCTTCTTTTCCTTCTATCTTCTAGTTTTTGCATATTTAGTGCCTCTAACCTCTCCTCGTAGCTTTTGTCCTTCGGTTTTGGGAGCCACCCTAGTGGCATGTCTTTGCACCTTTCCCAGTTTGTTGATGCGCTTGTTAAGATATGGGCACCATACAACCGCTGCATATTTCAGCTTTGGTCTAACAAAAGTCGTGAACAATTTCTTTAGTATTTCTCCGTCCATGTATTTAAAAGCAATTCTGAAGTTAGGAAGTGTGGCATAGGCTCCTCGCACAATGTTCTTAACACTATCACTCGGTAACAACGCAGCATTGCGTCGTCTGTTTAGTAGATGTACTTCTGTTAATGACGCAGCATTGCGTTGTCGGTGCGGCAAAGTAGTGGCGTTTTCGGGAAGGTCTTGCCACGGTTTTGGACATTACATGCATTTACTTATGTAGGGAATTTCATTGTGAATACATTGATACCAAAATGAAAGACCTAGGACCAGAATTGAGGTAACAAAGTTGAAAAGAACATACCAATTTTATTGCTCTTTATTAGCGCTCACGGGGGTAACGCTCCGTCACTTTTTCTGTTTGCTGTGGGTGGTACACCGGGCTTTTGGACTTTATATTTGCATATACTCCTGTAGGGAATTCTATTGCGAACACAATGATACCAGAATGAAAGACCTAGGACGAGAATTGAGATGTCCAAAGTGAAGAGAGAGAGTACACATTTTATTGCTCTTGCGCGCTCCCGGGTAACAAGCTTTCAATTTCTCACTGGGCTTTTGGGCTTTACTGTATATGCATTTAGTCCTGTAGAGAATTCTATTGCAAACACAATAATACCAAATTGAAAAACCTAGGACAAGAATTGAGGTGACAAAGTTGAAAAGAGTATACACTTTTCAGTACTACCGCGCTCTCCAGTGTAATGGAAGATGCCTTGGGGTGGCACAGCTCTCTCTTTTAGGTAACCTTGGTCCACGTTCATCTTGTCAGCGGGTGGAACGCGCTGCGGTTTGACATTATATGCATATACTCCAGTTGGGAATTCTATTGCGAACACATTAATACCAAAATAAAAGACCTAGAATGAGAATTGAGGTGACCAAAGTGAAAAAAAGTGTAACACATTTTATTGCTTTTGCACGCGCCCGGGTAACTCGCTCTCAATTTCTCTGTTTGCTGTGCGTGGTAAGCCGGGAGTTTTGGAGTTTATATGCATTTAGTTCTATAGAGAATTCTAATGTAAACACATTGATACCAAATTGAAAATCCTAGGATGAGAATTGAGGTGAAAAGAGTATACACTTTTATACACTATTGAAAAGAGTATACACTTTTCAGAATTACCCCGCGCTCCCAGGGAGCGCGCGGAAATCCCCAGACCCACCTTAGATAGCGAAAGGCTCACTCGCTCAGAACAATAAAGTGTTAATGTGGTTTTCGAGTGACAGTTTTTATATAGGTAGTGTGGGGTCTAGGTTCTCCTATTCCACATTCAATAACATGGCATTTATTCACATTAAATTACATTTGCCAAGTGGTGCTCCATATACTTATTTTGTCCAGGTCTTCTTGAAGGGCATGACAATCATCTAGGTTTCTTATCTTCCCTATTATCTTAGCATCATCAGCAAACATGTTCATATAATTCTGTATCCCAACTGGTAAATCGTTTATGTAGACAATTAACATTACCAGTGTAAGAACTGAGCCCTGTGGTTCTAGTGTGGCTTGTCCCCTGATGACTGTACGAGCAGTACTGTAGTGTTGCTTGTCCCTGATGACTGTACGAGCAGTACTGTAGTGTTGCTTGTCCCCGATGACTGCACGAGCAGTACTGTAGTGTTGCTTGTCCCTGATGACTGTACGAGCAGTACTGTAGTGTTGCTTGTCCCCGATGACTGTACGAGCAGTACTGTAGTGTGTCCCTACTGACAATTAGATCAGTTTTTGTTATTTTTTGTTATTTGTTTTTAGTTAGACAAGATGTGAAAACTTTATGATGATGGATGAATGTTGAGTCAATAAAGTAAGTTATTATCTCAAGTTGCTGTTATTATAAACATATATTATCAATGGTTAGAAGAACGAATGTTAAACCATTATCAAAAAGCCCAAGCACAAAAATGCAGAGTACGAGGAGAGTGCAGACACACGACATACACCTGGAGGAGCTCGTGTGGCAGGCGGTGGGAGGTTCCACACGCCCGTGACCCGCCACACCCGCACACCAAAGCAACAAGAGGAAAAAATTTGTACAAATCTAAAATACGACAACATAACATAACCCATCCTCAACTGACCTACCCCAACCTAACCTAACCTTACACATATTAACCCCATGTTACTTAATGTACTCTCACTTACCTTACTTGCCGACCGGGAGCCAGTCGGCCGAGCGGACAGCACGCTGGACTTGTGATCCTGTGGTCCCGGGTTCGATCCCGGGCGCCGGCGAGAAACAATGCGCAGAGTTTCTTTCACCCTATGCCCCTGTTACCTAGCAGTAAAATAGGTACCTGGGTGTTAGTCAGCTGTCATGGGCTGCTTCCTGGGGGTGGAGGCCTGGTCGAGGACTGGGCCGCGGGGACACTAAAGCCCCGAAATCATCTCAAGATAACCTCAAGATAACCATAATCTACCTTAACCTATCTGAACTGCGACTAACTCCCAATCATACTTCGACTCAAAATTCAAAATTCAAATGTTTATTTGGTAAAATACATACATACAAGGGGTGATACAAAAATTGATGAATTTATAGTTAGAGCTAGTACATACAATGCCTAAAGCCACTATTACGCAAAGCGTTTCGGGCAGATCGTTCACAATCTCAGTCTCTTGACTAAACCTCACACTTAGTTATAAAACAGCAGCACTTTGCTACCACCATTTACACAAATCCTCATTTGCCGTCCAGAGTACATTTCTACTCATATGCTAATTTTTTCTCACTATCCTCACACAAATTAAAGACATTGATAAGTTTCAATCTCTGCCAAATTATGACCATTGATGGACCACTGTGAGCGCCGCACCTCCCAACATCACCACTCGTGCAGTCATCGAGAGGAAAAACCTTCATGCAAATTGCAGGTGAAGGAGAAAAAACTTGAAAAAACCAACTAAAAAAAAATGTTTCAATGAAAACAATAAGGAATATTAAACTTCACAACAGAACTAAATACAACTGGAGGCCGGGAACATGGTTTTAAAACTGTTGTTTTATCCATTAATAAAATGGTTTGAGCAAAATTATAAAAATGACGTTAATGGGGCGAACATTCCTACCTCAGGACTGACACTTGGTCTTCCCTCTCACGTTAATGGGGCGAACATTCCTACCTCAGGACTGACACTTGGTCTTCCCTCTCGCCTGGCCAACCAGCGCACCACCTCAACACTTAACTCAAGCCACTTGGCCTCAATGGAGTTCAAATCACTTAAAATACTTCAAGCTTACCATAAATGTGGGTAAAACTTCCATAATAAGGCTTAAATGCAGTGGTCCCCCGACCGGTCCTTGTGGCTCGCCTGACAGCTGTGTTTTGATGCATCTGCTACTAATTACATAAACAAATGGTCTGTCTAGCTAATTAATACCAGATAACAATAATTAAATTTAACGAAATAATTTATTATTGCTTTAGTAATAACTACTAGAAAGCTATATTTAAATTATTTAAGTTTCGTTATAGTGTTATAACAAATACCAGATGCATTATTATATTTCCTCATTGGTTCTCTTATATAAATTAAAGTTAGTTTAATTGATTCCATTGAAAATTATATTTATAGTGAACATACTGGTGCACGATCAAAAAAGTTCATTTTTAATGTTAAGAGAATGAACTATAAAGTGTAAGCCTTTCTCTGATTCAAATGCGTTGTATTTAGGGCGCCATATTTGAACACCGCGACACCCTCCACTCGACCCTTTTCAAGACTCCGGCCCAACAAACCCAATTAACCCCCTACTAAAACTGCAGGCATCTTCATAGTCAAAACACCACGCAATATTGAAGAGGTCTTACAAAATGTTTCTCGAAATATGCACTCCGCACATTCTCTCGCGCCTTGAGAGAGAGAGAGAGAGAGAGAGCGCCTTCTCATTTTTTTTTTTTTTTTTTATTTTTTTTTTTTTTTTTTTTTTTTTTTTTTTTTTTTGAGATATATAGAAGAGTTGTTACATTCTTGTAGAGCCACTAGTACGCGTAGCGTTTCGGGCAGGTCCCTGGAATACGATCCCCGCCGCGAAGAATCGTTGTTACAACCAAGTACACATTTTACTGTTGAGTTAAACAGAGGCTACAGTTAAGGATTTGCGCTCAGTAAATCCTCCCCGGCCAGGATACGAACCCATGACATAGCGCTCGCGGAACGCCAGGCGAGTGTCTTACCACTACACCACGGAGACTGCTTACAAATTACAAACTGCTTACTGCTTACTGCGGAGACTGCTTACAAATTAACCTTGAAAAGCCAAATTCATAAATGTAGAGTACTTATATCCTGATTTATGCTTCCTTTATGAATGACAGAGAGGCAGGGAACTATCAGGGAGGAAAGCGCCAAGTCATTACGACTATGCAAGCGAGGAGTCACAATAACGTGGCTGAAGTCTCCGTGGTGTAGTGGTAAGACACTCGCCTGGCGTTCCGCGAGCGCTATGTCATGGGTTCGTATCCTGGCCGGGGAGGATTTACTGAGCGCAAATCCTTAACTGTAGCCTCTGTTAACGCAACAGTAAAATGTGTACTTGGTTGTAACAAGGATTCTTCGCGGCGGGGATCGTATTCCAGGGACCTGCCCGAAACGCTACGCGTACTAGTGGCTCTACAAGAATGTAACAACTCTTCTATATATCTCAAAAAAAAAAAAAAAAAAAAAAAAAAAAGAAGTATGTTGACCAGACCACACACTAGAAGGTGAAGGGACGACGACGATTCGGTCCGTCCTGGACCATTCTCAAGTCGATTGTGACTTGAGAATGGTCCAGGACGGACCGAAACGTCGTCGTCCCTTCTCCTTCTAGTGTGTGGTCTGTTTGTTGTTGTTGTTATAGATTCAGCTATTCGAAAAAAGTTCGAAGTAGCACGGGCTATGGTGAGCCCGTAACTTACCTGGCACAGGAGCGGTGCTGTGTGTGTTAATGCAGCTGTTTTGTGTGGTCTGGTCATCATTACGACTATATATCACTTGGAAGGATTCAGGATAAGGATTTTGGATGGGACAGGGGGGGAGGGGGGTGGAATGGTGCCCAACCACTTAATAATAATAATAACAATATAATAATATTATATTTAGGAAAAGCACATCCATGTATTCTCACAAACCCAATGTACCTTCTTGTATATAAATAAATAAAATAAATAAATAAATAAATTCTGGGTCCCTTGATTTGTAGAGCATTTCTAGTTTGATTAAGTCGTACTCTTGGAATATCAAATAGGTATTTGTTTCTGGTGTGGTGTTCATGGGTTCTGTTACAACCTTCTAGGAAACTTTTAAGGTCAGGATTGACATTACAGTTCAGCGTTTTATATATGTATATAATACACATGAGAGAATGTGCAGTGACTTAATATCTAACATATTCAGAGATTTCAGTAAAGGTACCGAGTGATGTCTGGGGCCAGAGTTGGATATTGTCCTAATAGCAGCTTTGTGTTGGGTAATTAGAGGACGTAAATGATTTTGGGTAGTAGAACCCCAAGCACAAATACCATAGTTGAGATAAGGATAGATAAGGGAGTAATAGAGCGTCACCAGGGCAGGGCGAGGTACATAATATCTGATCTTAGAAAGAATGCCCACAGTTTTTGAAACTTTTTTTGCTATATTTAGAACGTGTCCCTGGAAATTCAGCTTCTGATCAATGAGAACGCCAAGGAATTTGCCATCAACTTTACTACTGATTTGTATATTGTTTATTCTTAGATTAATTTCATTATTTATTCACAGAAACATACTGGAGCCTGTCAGTAAGGTAAGACTGAAGGTATTGTAGGGAGTGTCCTCTGACTCCATAATGATGTAATTTAAGAAGAAGGTTTTGGTGGTTGACAGTGTCAAAAGCCTTACGCAGGTCCACAAATAACCCAACAGGGAACTCATTTTTATCAAGAGCTGCATGTAGCAAGTTAATCATACTAATAAGTGCATCGTTAGTACTTTTATTGGGTCTGAAGCCATATTGGCAAGAGCTAAGTATATTGAGTTTGGCTCAATATGAGTAAAGCTGCTTGTAGATTAGCTTTTCAAATATTTTTGACAAGGTTGGCAGAATTGAGATAGGTCTGTAATTGTTGACATCAGTGAGATCACCACATTTGTGGACTGGGGTTACTCTCGCTTTTTCTTTTTATAATATCCGGAAAGGTTTGGAGTTCAAGTGACTTGTTGAAGAGCAATGCAATGGCAGCAGCTAGAAATCTGGAGGCTTTTTTGTAACTTAGAGATGGTATCTCATCAAGGGCGCTTGACTTAGTTTTAAGGGAAAGGATTACCTCATTAACATCAGAGGAAGTAGCAGGAGAGAGGTACAGAGACTCTGGATAGTTACCTGTAAGGTAGTCTTTAATATTAGTGAGTGAGGATGGAATATCATGAGCAAGGGATGTCCCAATGGATGAAAAGAACCTATTGAATTCAATAGCAGTGTCTGAGGCCGAAAGCACGGCATCATCATTGGCTAAGAGAATTGGTTTTTTATTCACAATTTTTTTTAATCTATAGTTTTTTGAAGTATAGTTTATTGTTTTAGTTTTTCATTTCTTTTTTTAAACTGTTCTACTTATTTTTCAGTGATGGGAACATCAGATCATTTGATGTTCACATTTTTCTGATGGGAACATCACATCATTTGGGAACCCATCAGACGAGGGAGTGGGGAATGGTGGGGAGGTCGAGGGGACGAGGGAGTGGGGAATGGTGGGGAGGACGAGGGGACGAGGGAGTGAGGGATGGTGGGGAGGACGAGGGGACGAGGGAGTGGGGGATGGTGGGGAGGACGAGGGAGTGAGGGATGGTGGGGAGGACGAGGGGACGAGGGAGTGGGGGATGGTGGGGAGGACGAGGGGACGAGGGGGAGGGAGTGAGGGATGGTGGGAAGGACGAGGGGACGGGGGAGTAGGGAATGGTGGGGAGGACGAGGGGACGAGGGAGTGAGGGATGGTGGGGAGGACGAGGGGACGGATGGTGGGGAGGACGAGGGGAGTGGAGGGATGGTGGGGAGGACGAGGGGACGAGTGAGGGAGTGAGGGATGGTGGGGAGGACGAGGGGACGGTGGAGTGAGGGATGGTGGGGAGGACGAGGGGACGGTGGAGTGAGGGATGGTGGGGAGGACGAGGGGACGGTGGAGTGGGGGATGGTGGGGAGGACGAGGGGACGGTGGAGTGGGGATGGTGGGGAGGACGAGGGGACGAGGGAGTGGGGGATGGTGGGGAGGACGAGGGGACGAGGGAGTGAGGGATGGTGGGGAGGACGAGGGGACGAGGGAGTGGGGGATGGTGGGGAGGACGAGGGGACGAGGGAGATGGTGGGGAGGACGAGGGGACGGGAGTGGGGGATGGTGGGGAGGACGAGGGGACGAGGGAGGGATGGTGGGGAGGACGAGGGGACGAGGGAGTGAGGGATGGTGGGGAGGACGAGGGGACGAGGGAGTGGGGGATGGTGGGGAGGACGAGGGGACGAGGGAGTGGGGAATGGTGGGGAGGACGAGGGGACGAGGGAGTGAGGGATGGTGGGGAGGACGAGGGGACGGGGGAGTGGGGGATGGTGGGGAGGACGAGGGGATGGGAGGGGGAAATAGTGGAGAGAACGGGGGCGGGAGAGGAAAGGGTTGCTATAGCTCAGCAACACACACGCGTAGTTGAGCCACAGCAACGCGTGGCCGGGGACAGCTAGCCCTAAACATTTAACATTACTCATTACCAATAATTACCTACTTACATATGTGACTAACATTACATTACATGTGTAAGTGATGAGACAAGCTACATGCATACAGAAACATTGGAAAAGTATATGCCTCTATCAACATCAGAGGCCCGAGACTGTTCAACACGCTTCCACTACACATAAGGGACATAACTGGCCGACCCCTCACAGTGTTCAAGAGAGAACTATCAACATCAGAGGCCCGAGACTGTTCAACACGCTTCCACTACACATAAGGGACATAACTGGCCGACCCCTCACAGTGTTCAAGAGAGAACTATCAACATCAGAGGCCCGAGACTGTTCAACACGCTTCCACTACACATAAGGGACATAACTGGCCGACCCCTCATAGTGTTCAAGAGAGAACTATCAACATCAGAGGCCCGAGACTGTTCAACACGCTTCCACTACACATAAGGGACATAACTGGCCGACCCCTCACAGTGTTCAAGAGAGAACTATCAACATCAGAGGCCCGAGACTGTTCAACACGCTTCCACTACACATAAGGGGCATAACTGGCCGACCCCTCACAGTGTTCAAGAGAGAACTATCAACATCAGAGGCCCGAGACTGTTCAACACGCTTCCACTACACATAAGGGGCATAACTGGCCGACCCCTCACAGTGTTCAAGAGAGAACTGGATAAACACCTCCAAAGGATACCTGATCAACCAGGCTGTGACTCGTACGTCAGGCTGCGAGCAGCCGCGTCCAACAGCCTGGTTGATCAGTCCGGCAACCAGGAGGCCTGGTTGATCAGTCCGGCAACCAGGAGGCCTGGTTGATCAGTCCGGCAACCAGGAGGCCTGGTCGACGACCGGGCCGCGGGGACGCTAAGCCCCGGAAGCACCTCAAGGTAACCTCAAGGTAAGGTGATGAAAGTGTATACATGCGTACGAAGATCCATATTAAAAGAAGTCGTGGCAAGCATATAAGAGTTGAAGATAATAAAGTTGTGGTGGGTGATAGGGTCAGATGAAGCCCTCACCTTTCCAGCCTGTTGTCGTTGTGAGGGGCGGCTGTCAGGGTGTGATGCTCCATGGGACAGTCCTCTGTCCTTTTGTAGCCTTATGCTCCTGCTGCTGTCTTTACAAATTGTGCTGGAAGTCCTTTCCTCTTCCTTATGTTTCCTTTTTTCTCCCCTCCTCCCTTCTCCTTTCTAACTGTCATTTCCTGCCGACTTTTTTGCCGTTATTGATTGTTCTTTCGGACATCTACTGTTTTGACGCCCGGGTGTTTGGGGAGGCACACTGTCTCACCCGTAGAACTGTGGTACTTGACGTTGTGAGCGAGGGGACGCTTCTATTGTCAATCCTCGCCTTCGTTGCTGAACCCGATCTCGACGGACTGACAGTTCTTAAGGTGGCGATTGTGGGGCATATACTCATGATGCACTCCTGGGAAGCCCCGTCTTGTCAGATGTTCTGTCCTCTAATTGTGGCTCCATGGTGGGTATGGGGGCTTATTCACGAAGGAAATCATTACCTGCTCGTTATTATGTCAATCATTGACCCTCTTTTCACTTCCCAGGCTCGTGGGGTGGGCAACCAAGCCCCCGAGTTAGACTGCGTTGGAAGACTGGGCTCTGTAGCCCCTGCTACATTGGCCCCAGACCATGTTCCTTCTTGTACTCTCCTGACTGCCTCTCTCTTCTTCCCCTCCCACCTGTGGCAGAGTTGAGCCCCAAGTTCCCAGTGGTGACGTTCTCATCACCTGGCGAGGCTCCGTCTCTAGTTGTCACAACTGCATCTTTTACCCCCTCTCGCACTGGGAGTGCTCGGCGTCGTCACCGCGGCACTCACTCGCGCTTGATTCCTTCCCATTCTCCTTGTTTCAAGGCTTTGTTTGGTCCTGCTACAGGGACTAAGTATTTTGATCTTAGTCATGTTAACCCTACTTGTCCTGATGATTTATTTCTCAATAAGCACCTTATTAATTCGGAGGATACGTTGGTCACCTTTAACACCACCCGAACTGATCCACGTGTTGTTGCAGGGCCTTCTCGGGAAGCGGCTGCCCGCCTGGTTTCGTTGTCCTGCATTTGGGAGATTCCTGTTCGGATCTCCAAATATGCCTGCATTGGCACAGTTCTTCTCCCGCACCATGTTGTGACTGGTGACTGGGAACTTAAAGACTGCCACGAGGATATTAAGTATATCCTTGAGGCCCAAGGCCATTATATCCTCCAGGTGGATACCTTCACTCAACCCCCTCGTGGTCGTCGCCATCAGCCTCTTCGTATTGTGAAGGTCACATTTGATGGTAGGTCCCTTCCCTCTTCAGTTTATTCTTGCTGGTGTCAGATGCTCCGTTCAGGAGTACATCCCCTCTCCTCGCCTCTACAACAGGTGCTGGAGATTTGGGCATGGTCCCTTCAAGTGCACAAGTGTGGTCTCTCTCTGCCCCTATTGTGGAACCTCGGGCCATTCCAAGACAGAGTGCCCTTCTTCCCAAACTCTCTACATCAATTGCAGTGTCGCCCACCCTGCCTTCTCCCGTGTATACGTGCATTACAAATTTGAGGAAGCGTTCTCAGTTTGAAGCATCGTGATCATTTGTCTTTTCCTGAGGCTAGGCGCCAGGTTACGCTGTCTTCCCTCTTTCTCTGGCATGTCTTATGCTCGTATTTTGCGTGCCCCTTTTTCTCGCCCTTTCCCACTTTCTCAGTTTCGCAACTGTTTTGAGGCCTTGTATCCCGACACCTCCACCACCACCTCGGCTGCTCCGTCTGCTCCTTTGCGTTCTAGGCCAGAGGGTCCTCCTCCTGGTTTTCTGTCTGGTGTTTCCTTCCTTCCTTCCCGGTTTTCCTCGTCTCCTGTGCCCTCACTTCCTTTTCATCACCACTCCTTCACAGCCCTCCTCTCTGTCTCTTGGTCCTCCTCGCTCCCTATCTGTTCAGGCCATTGTCCATCCTCCTTCCAGCGCTCGTCGTGTTGCTCGTTCCCGTTCTCCTTCTGTTGAAACTGTCGAGGCGGTCGCCCAGAATATTGCTGATGGTACGCCTGTCACTTTACGTCAGAAGCGCAAACTTGGCTGGTCTACTTCTTCCTCCCCGGCGGGTAAGAAGGCTTCGATGTATTCCTCACCTTCAGACACCGATACTATCCCTGCTCTCCCTCCCTTTTCAGTGGCAGGGTCTCCTGTCCCTCCTATGGAGGTTTCCTTGGGCCTTGATCCACTCTTGGATGCTGCCCTTGCTCCGGTGCCCTTACTTGTTTCTGTCCTTCCTATCCCTCAATTTCCTTGACCGCCCCCTCTCTGGTGCCTCCTCTCGTTTCCTTGTCTCGGTTATCTTTGCTAGCTTTACCTCTGCCCCATCACCCTGATTTCACTGATCCTGATCTTGTTCTTCCTTAGTCTCCTGTGTTCTACTTTGCCTTCGTTTCTCCTTTATTATCTCTGTTTATATTCTCTCTTTTTGTCTATGTCTGTTCTTCAATGGAATATTCCTGGTTTTTTGCCAGCTTCCATGAACTCCAACTTCTGATGGAGTAGTTTGTGTCTGTCTCCAGGAGCCGATGTTATTTCTGGAGTGGTGATAATGGGTCTTATTACATCTGTCCAGTGAGAGTTTCAGAGTAGGATTTGCGTTTAAGAACAGGGTTTTGTAAATGTAATTGACACAAGAAAATTTGTAGAGTGAGATTATGTTTAGCATGTTAAGGGAGTTAAACAAGGGGGCTGAGTGTTGTCTGAAAGCAGAATTTGTTATTATTCTGATAGCAGATTTTTGCTGGGTGATGATGGACTTGAGGTGGTTTGCAGTGGTTGAACCCCATGCACAGATACCATAATTAAGATAGGGATAGATTAGTGCATAATACAGAGAGATGAGAGCAGAGTTAGGTACATAATATCTGATTTTGGAGAGTATCCCAACTGTTTTAGAGACTTTCTTAGTTATGTGTTGTATGTGGGTGCTGAAGTTGAGTCTCGATATCTTGTCTAGGAATAGGCCAAGAAACTTTCCATAATTATTATTGCTAATGTTTACATTATCTATCTGAAGCTGAATTGCATTTGTAGATTTGCATCCAAATATAATGTAGTAGGTCTTTTCTATGTTAAATGTTAGTTTATTGGTTGACATCCATAAGTGGACTTTTTTTAGTTCATTATTAACAACATTATTTAGTGTATGTGGGTTGGGGTTAGAGTAGATGAGGGTAGTATCATCAGCAAACAAAATAGGTTTCAGAATGTTAGAGACATTAGGCAGATCATTGATGTATATAAGAAATAGGAGAGGTCCCAAGATGTTGCCCTGTGGCACTCCAACGGTTATTGGTAGAGTGGGAGAGGTTATATCATTGATGGTTACACATTGGAGTCTATCACTAAGATAGGATTGGATATAGTCCAGTGCATATATATATATCTATATTGTGACGGGAAAGTGTTGATGTTCGGCAGTCCTCCAATGGCAGGTGTCAAAGCCTGGTCACACATAAAACAAAAATATAGACTGCTTGCCTGTTGTCTGTGGTAAGGGAGAGGGAGGAACACGTAAAACACAAAGTATGAACAATGAAACTTTAATATATTTACTTTAAACATAAATGAAAATAAAGACAAATCTCGGGGGAATGAAAAATAAAGTTAAATAACAAAGATAAATGCAAAGACAATGTGAGATACAATATTACAAAAGTGAAATGTTAAAATGGTGCTGAGAATATCAGCTATGGCTGAAACCTCCCTTCGTATACCAGCCAATGAGCTAGTATGCCAGAGAGATGGCAACTCTAAGAGCACAAAGAATATTCTGAAGTTAATAGCTGGTCAGGCTCAGACGTCGACTCAGGTAGAGGGCGCTGACATGCGGTGTGCAGGTGTGCGGTCGGCGAGTCACCAATCAGGAGCAGGCAAGCTGGTGAAGGGTAGTTAGCTGGTTTGATGACGAGCCGGCGTGTGGAGGGTGTGTGGAGTGGGGGGATCTTGGGTACGTTTTGCCTCCTGGTCAAAACATTTTATATATATATATATATATATATATGTGTGGAAAATCCACAGAGAAATATGAAATGAGGTGAACGTTTCGGCTTTGTTAAAGCCATTGTCAACACCAGACTGACTGGTGTTGACACCAGTCAGTCTGGTGTTGACAAAGTCAACAGTCTGGTGTTGACAAAGGCTTTAACAAAGCCGAAACGTTCACCTCATTTCATATTTCTCTGTGGATTTTCCGCATAAAATGATCAGTGTTTTGTGATCGTCAATTGCATATATATATATATATATATATATATATATATATATATATATATATATATATATATATATATATATATATATATATATATATATATATATATATATATAAAAGTTTAAACCATGAATGATAGGAGTATTAGCAGGAAGGAAGGTCAGACTCTTAGAGCAGAAAACTACAATGTTACATGATAATTAAAAGGAAGTTTATGGAACATCTTCATCTATTTGTAGAGGTGGTTTCCATATCCGCAAGATCTGAGGGGTCCAGCAGCTCTGTGATCTTTGTATACGATGCATCAATAAACACGGTGACAGAGTTGATCACCTGACTCACATCATTATCAGTTCTCCCAAACCGTCCTCCGGCTTGAGTCAACACCTGTACAAATAAGTCCTTGAGTTCTTTCAGTCTCGGTTTGAAGTCTTGCTCAGTCATACTCAGTTGTCCATGAGCAGCATAATTTCGGTGTTGCTCCAGTTTATAAATGAGGTGCTCAAGCGATGGCCCGCTTGGCCCTGGAGTGGTCCACGTACGGTCAGCAAAATTTGCCAGACCACACACATGCTGCAGTAGTTTGTATAATAAGAAGATATCAAAACCAGTGCTGTCAGAAGCTTGAAGCTTATTCTGCTGGTAATTCGAGAAGATCCACCAGTACATATTAGAATTATACCCCAATTCCTCAGTGAGGTAATTGTGTACTGGGAAGGTACCTCTGTATGACCATCTGAACACTGTGTCAAGTACTAATCTTCCTGCCTTAATCACAGCGAATTCGTAACGCAATTGGTTGAGATCTTGCTCTTGTAATACTAGCAAATCTTCCTGGCGTAATCTGTTGGGATCTTCCCAAGAAAGCGGTGTCAAGCCCCCCATTTGGCGCTGAAACACCGGCTCTCTGATATTTTCTAGCAGTGCGTCAATATACTCAGTGAAGTTTCTAAACATTCGGTCCACTTCACGGCTGTCTTTCCCACACCGGGCGCCGGCCTTAGCCAACATCATCTTCAGTATATTACGGAGCTCTGTCAGGTTTTCCTCAAGGTCTTGCCGAGTCATCTTATTTATATGGGCCCATTTATTGTGTCGGAGCTCCAGCAGCTTGTAAATGAGGTGTTCGAGCGATGGCCCGCTAGGCCCTGGAGTGGTCCATGTGGGGTCCTTAATGTCAGCCAGACCACACACACGCCGCAGGAGCTTGTACAACAGGGGGATATCAAACGCTGCCGCGTCAGTTGAATCCTGTAGCTTTGTCTTCTCCTGATCAAAGAGGTTAACGTTGGACACAGTTACTGGGAAGCCGCCCTTGTACAACCACATGAACACACAAGCCAGTGCATCTCGTCCTTCCGTACACAAAGCCAGGCCATAACGGGACCAGTTTTTGTTGTCTTGCGTTACTGGCATACTGAACTTACTGATTAGCACCTCACAATACTTTTGTTCAGTTTCTGCTTGTTCACTGGCGACTGTATTGTACTTCTTCAGTACGGTGCTCCAGCTTCTATATTGTGGTACAGTATTGAACTTTGAGAAATTTATTACATATTTAATATATTATTTTGTTGTTTATATATTTTCAGTAACTTTTTGTAATTCAATTGTTTTGCTGAAGAGATTAAAATTAGTATTTCTTATGTTTTACTTTACACTAATGAAAAGTCATCAATAACTTCCTTGCATTTCGTCCAACGTTCCGGAGACGTCTGTACTTCGTCCAACGTTCCTCAGACGTCTGTACTTCATCCAACGTTCCTCAGACGTCTGTACTTCGTCCAACGTTCCTCAGACGTCTGTACTTCGTCCAACGTTTCTCAGACGTCTGTACTTCGTCCAACGTTTCTCAGACGTCTGTACTTCGTCCAACGTTCCTCAGACGTCTGTACTTCGTCCAACGTTTCTCAGACGTCTGTACTTCGTCCAACGTTCCTCAGACGTCTGTACTTCGTCCAACGTTTCTCAGACGTCTGTACTTCGTCCAACGTTCCTCAGACGTCTGTACTTCGTTCAACATTTCTCAGACGTCTCCAACTTCTGGAAAAATCAAATGTAAACAAACAGGCACATGAAGGTTACCTGCCCAAAATATATATTTATGTAAACTAAAATTAATTAAATATAATTTAGCAAGGTATTGAAAATTTAATTACATCCAATAGAAAAAATAAAGCTTTCATTATTTGTTAATTCTGAATTTTCCACAGTAAAGGTCGAACTTTCCACAGTAAGTGTTATGAGGGATTGGTGGTCCTATTAGGCCCAATAGCTAAAGTCAAGGAGTTCCTAGAATAGTGAGAGTTAGGTTAGGCCCCGGCCCCCAGGGAAGACAATTCTCAGCAAATAATACTTGTCCTAGTCTATCTTTAGCCTAAGTAAGATCAACTTACTCCCTTTCAAATAGGGTCAAACGATACTCCTAATAACCTTAGAAATTATTTATTGACCCCTAATAACCCCCCATATACAAAATTACACAATACAAGTATACAACAAATTACTTTACCACTCGATCTTACGTTAACCTCCTTGAATCCCCATAGGCAGGATACATTAAGACTTACAACTGCAACTTAGGGTGAAGTCTATGTTCCAGAAGGGGCACTAGAACACACTTAGGGAGCCGAGCGGACAGCACACTGGACTTGTGATCCTGTGGTCCTGGGTTCGATCCCAGGTGCTGGCGAGAAACAATCGGCAAAGTTTCTTTCACCCTATGCCCCTGTTACCTAGCAGTAAAATAGGTACCTGGGTGTTAGTCAGCTGTCACGGGCTGCTTCCTGGGGGTGGAGGCTTGGTCGAGGACCGGGCCGCGGGGACACTAAAGCCCCGAAATCATCTCACGATAACCTCAAGATAGGTATCACAGTAAATATTGGTACACGGGGTCGGTCACCTTAAGCCACTCCAACCAAATGAATTTTTCATGGATATGATACCAACATCAAATCATATATCAGATGTCACCCTATCCCGACTGGATTTTGAAGAAGCCATAAACAGCATGCCTATGCACTCTGCACCAGGCGAGGATTCCTACCCCAGAGGTAACGTTTGGGGCACAATCACTGGCTTACGCAGACACCACTAAATATTCTAGAACTCGGTGGCACTTAATACACAACAGGTATACACTTAATACACAATACGGCCACCAGCTGCAGATGGTTGCTAATGTTGTGTCGATTTTTTGAAAGGTTGATGGATCACTTGCGTCAGACTATCATCGAATTAGATTATACAAAATGTACAAAACCTTGCTTTTAAATGCATATTCTGATCTGAAACTCATCCTTGACAGATGTAATAGAACCCATAATCACCACACCAGAAATAAATATCTCTTTGATATCCCCAGAGTCAAACTACATCTGTGTAAACACTCTATGCAAATAAAGGGACCTGGTCTATGGATCTCACTCTCTAATCAATTCAAAAGTTGTCAAATCTACACTTTATTCAAAAGTAAAATACAAAGTACCTTATTTCATCTTCATAGTTTCCTACCTAGTGATTTAAACTCTCACTGTATCTTGTGCTACTCAATCCCCCAATATATGTACCTAAGCCATACAACTTCACCATTGTAATCACTGCTATCATCTTATATCATTATTGAAGGATACTGTTGGACCTCACTAATTGTTTGACTGTGAAGGATACTGTTGGACCCCACTGATTGTTTGACTGTGAAGGATACTGTTGGACCCCACTAATTGTTTGACTGTGAAGGATACTGTTGGACCCCACTGATTGTTTGACTGTGAAGGATACTGTTGGACCCCACTAATTGTTTGACTGTGAAGGATACTGTTGGACCCCACTGATTGTTTGACTGTGAAGGATACTGTTGGACCCCACTAATTGTTTGACTGTGAAGGATACTGTTGGACCCCACTGATTGTTTGACTGTGAAGGATACTGTTGGACCCCACTAATTGTTTGACTGTGAAGGATACTGTTGGACCCCACTAATTTTTTTTTGTTTAGAGATATATAGAAGAGTTGTTACATTGTTGTAGAGCCACTAGTACGCGCAGCGTTTCGGGCAGGTCCCTGGAATACGATCCCCGCCGCGAAGAATCGTTTTTTCATCCAAGTACACATTTTACTGTTGCGTTAAACAGAGGCTACAGTTAAGGAATTGCGCCCAGTAAATCCTCCCCGGCCAGGATACGAACCCATGACATAGCGCTCGCGGAACGCCAGGCGAGTGTCTTACCACTACACCACGGAGACAATTGTTTGACTGTGAAGGATACTGTTGGACACCAGTAACTGTGTGACTGTGAATAGCAGTACTAGCTGTTTACTGTTAGGGGCAAGGTCCCCTTAGTAGGCTACTGAATTACCTTCCCTTTGGATGCAATCCAGAACATTTGAATAATTACTTAATTAATTGAAGGTACTTACTGTCTGCTAGGTGAACAGGTGCATCAGGTGTAATGAAATATTGCCCAAACGTCTCGTCCTGTTGCTGGAATCGAACCCTGGACCTCACAGTTGTGAGGCTACTGCGCTGACCACTGCGGAACACATCACAAAGAAATAATAGATGACATCAGAGTTAAGACAATAAACACCGCCCGGGGCAGGGGCGGCCAGCGGGAATTTGCCTTCCCTAATACACATTTCAAGACGTACCATACTTATGAGAGCAAATTATTATCTCGGCCACAATAATTACTGCTCTGCAACATCTACGTGCACTGTTAAGAGCCTAGAACAACTTATTATAAGGCAAATATTGTATTAGAGAGGAGCGTCAGTATTCACCTCTACGTGTGGGACGGGTAGCAGTCGTGTGAGGCTCTACTGCGCATGCGTCGCCTCCCGCCACATGTACGATAACTTTTATTTATTTATTTATCTATTGATTTATATATATATATACAAGAATGTACATTGGGTTTGTAAGGATACATATCATATGGTGTTTCCATTCTTGTAAAGCCACTAGTACGCGCAGCGTTTCGGGCAGGTCCTTAATCTAACAGATAATTTTAAGAATGTAAATTTTCAGCAAAATTTATAAAATGATAACAGATACATTTGAAAGAAAAAAAATGAGATGAGAGAGATTAGTAGGTATATTAAAGCACATTGGTAGTTCTGATTGAACTTCACCCTGTGTGTTTAACATCCCGCCAGAAGTTATACCAAAGTGCTATTTATTGGCGGGAGATTGTTGCCATAACGCACCAGCAGGCAACCTGTATCCGAGCTGTGTGAGTAGAAGTGTTGCCGATCTCACTAATCTGAATATTCCTATTGTTTACAACGTACCAGCCAATGATATTCCATTATATCTGTTCCCTGAAATACAAGTGTCTTACACACCCATCAGCAAAACAAGCAAGGACAACGTACCCTTGCTCCGGAGTCAGTCTCCGTGGCCCCCAGCAGTCTCCGTGGTGTAGTGGTAAGACACTCGCCTGGCGTTCCGCGAGCGCTATGTCATGGGTTCGTATCCTGGCCGGGGAGGATTTACTGGGCGCAATTCCTTAACTGTAGCCTCTGTTTAACGCAACAGTAAAATGTGTACTTGGATGTAACAAGGATTCTTCGCGGCGGGGATCGTATTCCAGGGACCTGCCCGAAACGCTACGCGTACTAGTGGCTCTACAACCATGTAACAACTCTTCTATATATCTCAAAACAAAAAATCTCAAAACCCAGCATTCCTGAAGGCAATACGCTTGAAACCGTTGATTCCTTTACAAATAACTTACGGCCTCATGAACACTATACTTAGTGTTCATACAACTTTACCATTGTAATCATTGCTGTTATCTTATATCATGGTTGTTATACTGAACACATAGTTTACTGCATTATACCTTGCAATAATCCTCAAATTACGCTACAATGTACATGTTGATAACCCTTAAATTTAATTTAATGTACCTACTAATCTCTGTCAAATTTCTTATTCAATGTATTTTTTATACTTTCATCCAATGTATTGTTGTACTCTCTTACAATGTACCTGTATTTTTTTTTTAATTTTGCTACAAATTACTTTCTTAAAATTATCTGTTAGATTAAGGACCTGCCCGAAACGCTATGCGTGCTAGTGGCTTTACAAGAATGTAAAACATCAATGCTCTGTATTCCTCATAAACCCAATGTACCTTCTTATATATAAATAAATAAGTAAATGCTCTTGCTGATGGGTCTGTACAAATGTCAACAGGTCGCACTGCAGCAGCCCGTAGAATATACAAAGACAACATATGTACACAGATCACAAGTGTGAGACACAATAACTGGCTCAGCCTGGCTCAGCTCCACACATTAGGTGTAGTGGGCTGAGCTTGTAAAAGCACCTTCATCACCTTCAGTGATTAAGTGCTTAATTGCACACTAGTTTCTTTATCAGCTACCTCACCCTGTCAGGGTAAATGAGACAAATGTATGTGAATGCATGTGTGTGTGTATATATGTATGTGTATGTGTGTGTGTGTATGTATATGTATGGGTATAAAGCATATATGGAAGCTGATCAGAATTACATTTCACCTTTGTGAATGTACATTAATGACACTATGTAAAAGACACATCTAATACTTTATGTAGGGCATACGTAAATCTGTGTATCTATGTAATTACGTATGTAGGTTAGCTTAGCATTTTAAAAGCACCGAATCACCTTCTGTGGTTGAGTGTTCAATAAACCCTTGAACTATATGTCTAACCCTGTCTAACACATCTCTAACCCTGTCCATGGAGGACAGAAGAAAATGTATATATGCTGGTTAGCATTGTAAATGTGTGGCCACGTCTGTGGTAGAAAATAATAAAAAATAAGGTGTAGTGGGCGTGATATGTTGAGCAGTGTCTTCTATGTTGGCATCTTCACGTTCCGGTCTTGTTCTTACTCTCATGGTGAGTAGAGTGAATAGTTCCGTAATTTGGATATTTGTGATGGATTGTTTTTCACCTTCGCAAATAGAGTGGTAGACGGTTGGAACAAGTTAAGTGAGAAGGTGGTGGAGGCCAAGACCGTCAGTAGTTTCAAAGCGTTATATGACAAAGAGTGTTGGGAAGACGGGACACCACGAGCGTAGCTCTCATCCTGTAACTACACTTAGGTAATTACACTTAGGTAATTACACATGCAGAATTAGCTGCACTACAACTTGCCACTAACGCACTGAAGAACAATGGAGGAGTAATTTTCTGTGATTCAAAGTCAGCTCTTCAAGGGACTCGCTGCCGGCGCCATTGCTAGATAATAAATAAATAAATAAATAAATAAATGTATATTCAGGTAAGGTACATACATACAAGAGATTTTCCAAAATTTTATCGATTTATAGATAGAGCTAGTACATACAATGCCTAAAGCCACTATTACCAAAGCGTTTCGGACAGGAAAAACATTAATGACTAAAACTTAATACTAATTGAGTATAAAGAATAAAATGTGTTGAGAACAAATAAAAATAAAGACAAAAGAGGGGGGGGGGGGAACATGGCTGAAAAAGCAGCACAAATACAATTAGGTCGACAAACAGCGTTGTTTAAAAAAAAAACAGACATGGTTGACAATAGAGGGGTATGGTAGGTTACAGGGAATTTATTAGGTATAGCTTCGTTTTTAACTTAAACTGGTTGAGAGAGGTACAGTCTTTAACATGGTTGGGAAGGTCATTCCACATTCTGGGTCCCTTGATTTGTAGAGCATTTCTAGTTTGATTAAGTCGTACTCTAGGAATATCAAAACTGTATTTGTTTCTGGTGTGGTGCTCATGGGTTCTGTTACAACCTTCAATGAAGCTTTCGAGGTCAGGATTGGCATTACAGTTCAGCGTTTTATATATGTATAATACACATGAGAGAATGTGCAGTGACAATGTCTAACATATTCAGAGATTTCAGTAAAGGTACCGAGTGATGTCTGGGGCCAGAGTTGGATATTGTCCTAATAGCAGCTTTGTGTTGAGTAATTAGAGGACGTAAATGATTTTGGGTAGTAGAACCCCAAGCACAAATACCATAGTTGAGATATGGGTAGATGAGGGAGTAATGGTCACCAGGGCAGGGCGGGGTACATAATATCTGATCTTAGAAAGAATGCCAACAGTTTTTGAAACTTTTTTAATATATATTTAGAATGTGTCCCTGGAAATTCAGCTTGTGGTCAATGAGAACAAATGCAAATAGGAATTTGCCATCTACTTTGTTACAAATTTGGGTATTGTTTATTCTGAGATTTATTTGATTAGAGGATTTAGCCAAATATGTGTTTATGAAGGTCTCCAGTCTTCCACAGTAGCCTATTTAAGACCATCCGTTCTGCAGTTTTACTAATGCATGATGTTAATGAAATGGGTCTCTAATTGCCAGGTTCTTTCGGCTTAGGAATCGGTATGATGTCTGCTTTCTTCCAAGAGGTCGATAGTTTGCCTTGCTGCCAAGATGCAATGATGACGTCCAATATTCCTTGTTCTCCAACAGGACCTGCGTGTGGGACCATTGAGTATGTAATGTTATCAGCACCTGGGACAGTGTCCTTACCACCTTTTATGGCTCTGATTAGTTCTTGTTTGGTGAAGGAACATTCACATTCGTTATTTATAGCTATGCTCTCATGAATGACTGTCAACCTCTCTTGTTTTAATTGTTCTTGCTGCCTTCGGACCAATGCAGGAAGCTGATATGAAGCAGTGATTGCTCTTAGCTCTTTCTTGTGTTGTCGGAACCTCTGCATCTCTGCTGTTCAATACGTCTTTGTTGTTGTTGTTGCATATCAGACTGCATTGGCTGTTGTTGTCTGTCTCTTGTGTTGTAAGATTCTGTTGATCTTGGGTGGTCACTGCTTCTTGCAGTTGCTGTTGTGAATGTTGATGTTCTGGTGTCTTGACTACCCGACTGTTGTTGGTAGTCTGTATGTCCATGTTGCGTTGTTTGTCCTCTTGTGCTCCGTCTTGTCTCAGACTGTCTATTTCTTGTGTAACTGTAGTCTGCTGCACGATCTTGTCCATTATCACACAAGTGATTTCTTGAGTCTGTTGTTGTGAGGCGTTCTGCGTCACCTGTAGACAATTGATAATGGTCTCTGCCATGATCTTCACGATGTTTTTCAGCTGGACCTCGGTGGTAAAACTGTATATCTGTTGTGTTGATTCCGAAAGTAATTGTTTTTTGCTCTTTTGCATTTGCTGTATTTCTGCAGCATTTTTGTGTATTTCTGATTTGGAATTAATAGATTCGGGAAATTTTGCTCTGTGAGAGTGTGTGTGTGTTGTGGCTGTGCACGAGTGTTCCAGACGTTGGTGTTGGTGTATGTGGTGCTGGTCTGTGTGTTTATCCTGGCCTGAGCTGTCTGCACTATTTCTTTCCGTGCAGAGCAGGTTGTGCTCCAGGCATGATGTTTGCCTCCACAATTTGGACACTTGGCTGTTGTGGCCTGGTTTACCTTGTGTTTGGCTATACAGTCTTTGGTTGGATGTCTCTGGCTGCACACTCCGCATCTCTCCTGTCCTGTGCAGTGTGATTGATGGTGCCCGTATTTCTGACA